TCGGAAAACGGGCAAACCTTATATTGGGTTCAAAACGTAGTATTTAAAGGGCTATTACGTGCTCGATCACCACGCAAGCTAGACACTTAATTAGCCTCAAGTGCATTCATCGGATATTCACCTAGTGCTAGGGTAACTAGTATTACTAATATATTTTCATTTCATGGTCTTTCATTGGTGATAATCCCATTTCCATCTATTTTCAAAGTGCCTGGCATATGTGGTGATCAAGCGCGTGCGACGCCTTTTAGAACTACGTGTTAATCGTCATCAGAAGTTTGCCCGTTTTCTGAATGTTTCCCTATTTATTCTTTCACTTCTAATTGACAGATTTTTTGTTACAGAAATAAAATACACTATATATATGTGCATGTATATACCTTTCCATATTTTCAAAGTACTTACGATCGTGCCTGGCAGTACGTAATTCGCCAATCTTAAATAATTCTACTAGACTGGATAGCATTCATCGAATATTTTCCTAGGGTTCCAAGTATAAATAACTTTGTTTGGTATTTCGTAGAATTTGGTTTGTGAATAATCTCATTTCTCCTATTTTTCGAAGTGCCTAATTGAGTGCCTTTACATGTGGTGATCAATCGCGTGCTACACCTTCTAATTCTACGTTTTGAACCTCATTATTGAGTGCTTACTCATTTCACCTTGCATGTTCAACATTTAATTTGACGATATTTAACTGAATGATTATATTTTAAAAACTTATTACGCCCATTTTTCCGAAGTGTCTAAATAATTGCCTAATGAAGTGCCTACTTTTAGTCCGTCCCTTTTCCACCCACCGGCTTCAGGTGATTCTGAGCAGCTCTTTAGCACATACAGTGTTGTAATGTCGCCGATAGGCTACGTGACTGTCCGCTAAGATATGCTTCTTGGCACGAAAGCAGAAATTGCTGGCGAATACCAGTTATATCCTAAAATGAATAGGGAGTTTGGTTAAGAATCTTAGGATTGCTTAAATTATCATGTGAGTACGCAGGGCGTTTTCCTAGTTGTTTGTGTTCATAAAATCCTTCAAAAACTATACCTAAATACCAGACCGAAGCAACTTTCATGAACTTCAAGATATAGCAAAACGATGACGTAGCGCAGGGTGGTCCAAGGTTTCGAGGTTGAAGGACTGCAAAAACTTTGAGGGGGTCTCGCGAGCCGCAGTCGGAGAAAACCCAAAAGTGATCAAAACATCACGAGTTTACACACTTCAAATATATTCAAAAATGAGAGTTCATCGTTTTAATCAGTTCTTCAAAGACACTAATATAGTGCCTTTAGTAATTTTGAAATTGCTTCCCGAGAAATATCGTGGTATTTTCGGTGTCTTTTCTCGTGTTTGGTTTTGTAATGTCGCTTAAAATTAAATCGTGACAGATATTACTTGGAAACACATCAGACACTATGGTTCAACGTTGTTGTGGGTCAGGAAATACGTTTCCGCTCGGATTATTTCGGTCACCATTTTTCCACACTCATTGTATGATAAAATTATTACTTGTAGCGTGAGCAGGCCTAGTACTACCATCAAAAAACAACTCCGTCCGTTCCGTCTGAGTTGGGACCTCGGACCCAGATAAAAAAAAAAATGGATAGCGCGGCGCTAAGTCAGCTCTGCGGTTCGTCACTGTCCGTGCAACGCTTGAAAATAGTAGAGTGTTTTGACTAAAATGAAGATATAAAATGTCTCTTCAAATGAGGAGTTACTTGGCGCGAGCTCATCTCATCGGCTCGGTCCTGTCTGCACAAGACAATTTATTCTCCTTTTACCGATCACAGGACGCCATTCCCATATGGCCACCGTCTTGACGTTTATGCAACAATGAAATACCGTGATTTAAAAAAACATCAATCCCGACATCGTTATCAGGAAAAGGACTATTTCCAGTTTGAATAGTTTAAAAATAAATAAAAATTGTTCTGCTAATAAATACAAATATCTGCCAATAGTTTAGTAGTGTACGCTAAAATCATTCAAGCCGCAGTTTGGTACACTGACCACTCTGACGTAGCGCATTATCACATTACCTCTAGCCTAGTGTAGCAGCCGCGAGCTGACTATATTCAACAACTGGCAAATCTTAAATTTCTGTTATGATGTCATAAAATATTAAACTAAAATCCCGGGTTTTGGAATGTTGTCTCTCATTATCACGTAACAGATTCATCTTGTATACAAATAGGCTTATATCCTAAAAGTTGTCTAAAAATATACACGTTCGTGTTTAAGTCCAGTGGTTCCCAATTGTTGGTTCGGGTACCGGTGTCGGTTCGCACAGTTTTTCCGTCAGTCTGATGAAAAGGGCTAAATTAATTTTCGTCTCAAGTTGAATTGCTTTATTAGGAAACTTGTCTTCCGTCGTTAAATTGGGAGTTACATAAATATGGTTGGTATTCAATGGCCCGCGGTTTCTCGGAGTGCCAAAGAGGAGTGATCACACTTTTCATTTTTCCAATTTTTATCTGTCGCAAAGGTGTTTTGTTAATTCTAGCAGGTATACGAATTTTAGCCCAGTGTTTCCCAACTTATGTGTCGCGACCCGAAACTGCGTTGCCTCAAAATTTTCTTGGGTCGCTTGTTTTTTCAACAAAAACCTAAAATTTACTGCTTTTGTTTTCTATTAAATTTTATTGTTTATTTTATATTTATATTAAAGCTCAATTGTAATTGAGCATATGTGGGAAGTATAACAGCGTAAAAACTTGGCATCTGCTTTTATTAGTGAGCCAGTGAATTTTTTGGCCATTAGAGGCATATTCATTACATATCGCCTTACAAAATTTGTGTTTTAAAAAATTTGGGTCGCTGGAAAACGCAACCGATATAATCCATTATGTGAACCACCCTTCGACGGCGAGAAGTCCAGCAATCCTCTCGCACATTATTACATCCCGTTTCTCATCTCACATTTTATTTTAGGAAAATAAATATCGATATATATAAGGCTATAAATACTAATTCATTCAAAATCTATATTATTCACTAAAACGAGTATCATAATGTCAGGTTTTCTAATGCCCCGACTTTTTTATATGTATGTATCTTGCCTGTAGCCAAAATTTGTGATTCACACCATTTAAAAATGTTCATGCTCGTATGACGCCATAACAGATTGATTATGGCGTCATTGTTACAGAAAGGTCTTACAATTAGCACAGCCTAAACAGTCTCATCGTTTAAACCCGAACCTGATTCGAACCTACGTTGCCGCGTATCTAAGTATATTCTCTATTATTGTATTTTCTGTATTTATGCAGTGAGGAGGTCTGCTTTTGAATTGTAGTAGAGCCGTGAGCGATGTTTCGAGGTATTTCTTGCCTTTTTTGTTCAAAGCGTATCCCTGATATCTCGGATAAACATTCCTGATAAAATTTTATGAATTTGGTGTATGTTCCAACTTAGCGATGAAGTTACGCGATGGAAATGGAAGTCTAAGCAAGAATTTTTTCTTACATTTTTGAAATTAATATTCCGGCAGCGTCTGCAACTGCTAAATAGCAACATTTTAGTGTAGTTCCACGGCGATGCAACGAGGTATGTTAATAGAAAAAATCGATTTGAAACAAGTTTTTGTTTCAAAACTGATTTTTCATGGGGAATTGATAAAAAACAAAACCATATAGGCTACATGAGCATTATCGTATGTAAAAAATGAAATAAACCATTCTTGAAAACAGAAAGAAAAATATGAACCGTGCCGTATTTCATTCATATTTTTCTCTGTACTGTAGGCATATATACGTCTAGTATCGAAGTACTTTCCGATAGATGGGAACAAGGGCTGGGAATCGTTAAACGGTTAATGATTGCGATTTTTTTAACCGTTAACTAACATCTTAGGTAATAATCATTTTTATACCGTACAATTTCTTTAGTTTAGTGATTACCGTAGTTCATTACAAATGTATATCCAGTGAAGTTTAATTTATAAGGAAATACCATTTCAATTGTTAAGCACCAAGAAATTGTAAAGAAATTATCGAAGTACTTGTGTAGCTGAATATGAAATTTGGCAAAGACAAGTTAATAACTAGTTTCCGGTCAGAATGTAATTTTCTCGATTTTATTACAAGAGCGTCTATTCCATGTCATTCCACAAACGCGCACTCTGTTGAGGAATATATAAACATACCGACATTTTCGTTTAGTAGTGACGAATGCTTTGAATTTACAATATTAATCGCCGTGCACACTGCGATAATACACTAGTAGCAGAAACACACATATTATGTTTTTGCGCCATTCTCGCAACATATTTAAAACTGGATATACATATCACGATAATTACATTCTCCAGAACTTCGAAATTACCCTGGAACGGCTGTGACGTAACAATCCTAAATTTTTTCTATTACGTCACCATCACACTGCGATAAACCGGTTGAAGAGTTTTCGTTGAAATTCCCAGCCATAATGCGAACATGACTTGTTTCAAAATTTATCCTACCACTAAATTGAGATTTATATTTACATATGAATCAGGAAAATATTGTCAAATTAGTTCAATTTATATGTCTGACCCGATTTGCGTTTGATAGGAAGAAATCTCTTATTTGCTATTTCGCATTAAAGTAGTAATATTCAAAAACAAAGAACTTCGTTAATTTTTTTCAAATTTATTAAAAACCGGTTTCGCATGATAGTCCTCGCTGTACTTGATTATTCTAGAAAATATAAATGTGCAATGCCTTTATATACATATATATAGAAAAACAGAAAGCGGTACGAGTATGAAAAATAAGAATGTTAACTTATTAGGTACAGAATAACAAAAACCATTGTTCAAAAAAGCGCCGAAAGAAAATTGACACAAGTGTGGAAAACTGTTAGAATTACGATTAAATTTTGATTTGGGGTCCAAAAAGTTGTTTTCGGTCATTATGAATGTATATGCCACGCAATTTCTTCTGTAATTCTAACTCGACACATATATGGATGTAAAAACGTCATTTTGTACAGAATGTAATTGTAATCTTTTGTGTTTAACTAGATCGCATAGAAGTATTGTCAGAATCTTGGGGAAGAGTGAGCGTCAGCAACAAAAAGCGCAAATGTTTTCAGTACATGTTTGGTATCTGTTTGGCTGTTCACCTGGTTCTTACTGGAGCTTGCTTTGTCTATCTTATGCAGGTGGGTACTGTGTGAATAAAATTACTGCTAATTATTACCAAATACAAACATTTTTGAACAATTTTTTTTTATAAATTTTACCTTTTGTTGTAGATAAACTCGCAAGTCAATATGAATACTGACTCAATAGTGAAGATAAATGAAGAGAGAAATCAATCTATTGGAAGTAAGTTAAACATTTGCAATATTGTAAAAAAATATTTGTTTTTTTATGATGGCATAATAAGCGCCATGGGGCTTTTTGTAAGACGAGCATTTCGGCGTTTATTTATGAACAGATTGAACACTGAATACGAAATAAGACGATGAAAGTCATAGTTATATAGTTCAAACCACAAAAATGGAAACAGTGCTTGTAACCCTAAATGTTTTTTTCACAGGTTATGTAGAGCATTACATATACACAGAAAACGAAAAAGCACTCAGTGCCGCGGAAAAAGGTGAAAAGGGTAACAAAGGTGAAAGGGGGAAACAAGGAATTAAGGGATATACTGGAGTTGGTCTTCCTGGCAAAAATGGTGAAAAAGGGTGTAAGGGGCAGCGTGGGTTAAAAGGAGATACCGGTTCAATGGGTCCAAAAGGGACAACAGGAGGAATCGGAATGAACGGCAAGCCTGGACAAACGGGATACAAGGGAGAACGAGGTATCAAAGGTGAAATCGGAGAAAAGGGTACCCATGGTAAAAATGGAATAAATGGATTATCAGGAATTCCGGGCATAAACGGCCAAAAGGGAAGTAAAGGTCAAGCGGGGACTAAGGGTGAAAAAGGAAATATGGGAGAAGTTGGTTCACGCGGTATAAAAGGTGAATCTGGAGCTCGTGGACTTATCGGATCTCCAGGACTGAATGGATCCAAAGGAGAACCTGGAGAAAAAGGTAGCACCGGACCAATTGGGTCAATGGGCCCAGTGGGACATAAAGGGTCAAATGGTACGTCGGGACCAATAGGGAGAAAAGGAGACAATGGGTTGACAGGGGCTCCGGGCAAAAAGGGAATAGGCATACAAGGTATGAAGGGCCAAAAAGGAAGAATTGGAGAACATGGCGAAAAGGGCATTAAAGGCCAACAGGGAATTCGAGGCCCACCTGGATTGAAAGGTATAGTCGGAAACGACGGGCCAGTTGGCTCAGTGGGTTTAAAAGGAAATTCGGGGAAAAAAGGAGAAAAGGGAATGAACGGTATGCCTGGACAAACGGGTTACAAGGGAGACCGGGGTATCAAAGGTGAAACTGGAGAAAAGGGCATTGCGGGTAAAAATGGGACAAATGGCTCACTGGGAAACCGGGGTGAAGACGGCAAAAAGGGAAGTAAAGGTCAAGCGGGGGCTAAAGGTGGCATGGGAAATATGGGGCGAGCTGGTTTACGGGGTATAAAAGGTGAACCGGGGCCTCTTGGACCTACCGGATCTCCCGGAATTCATGGATCCAAAGGGGAACCTGGACTGAAAGGTAGAACCGGACCGATTGGGTTAATGGGCCCAGTGGGGCATAAAGGGTCAAATGGTACGGCGGGTCCAATGGGAAGAAAAGGAGAAAAAGGGTTGCCAGGTTTTCCGGGCAAAAATGGAGTAGGCCTACAAGGTATGAAAGGTCAAAAAGGAAGAATTGGAGAACAAGGCGAAAAAGGCATAAAAGGCCAGCGAGGAATTCGAGGTCCCCCCGGATTAAAAGGTATAGTCGGAAGCGACGGTTCAGTTGGCCCCATAGGTTTAAAAGGAAACACTGGTAAAAAAGGTTCTTCTGGAATTGACGGTACGAAGGGAATGAAGGGAGAAACGGGTCCTTCAGGAAGTAAAGGCTCTATTGGCCCGAGAGGGCTCAAAGGAAATATGGGCCCTAAAGGTTTACCGGGGCTACGCGGCTATGCCGGTCCAAAAGGCATCAAAGGAAATAGTGGCTCCAAGGGCACATCCGGTATTGATGGGATCAAAGGGGATGCGGGATTTAACGGCACAGATGGGAACGATGGGGTTCGAGGAATAAAAGGAGAAACCGGATTGAAAGGACAGAAGGGAATAAAAGGCGAAATACAATCTTCGGCAAATTTACAAGCACAGATGGACCGCATGAAAGAGCGGATTGATGGTTAGTACCGCTTGCTCAATTTATATTTCAACTTATTGGACACGTAGTGGACATAACGATCGTTTCAATATAATGTTGATCCTGTTGTTTGACACAGAATAACACACCTAGTGGAAATATTAAAAAAACCGCTTTTCTCTTCGAATACTGGACCAATTGCTTTGAAATTTTCAGTGGTTGAAGATAGAATTTTTCCCCAGAAGGCTATTACTTTTATTCATTTTAAATATTTCTGTTAGCTCTGTGAGATTCGTTTTCGTTTGCTATGACGTCATTAAACGTTCAGCGGACATCGGACGCCATTTTGTGTCCTACTGTACTGCTTCGCTTGGTGTGAATATATTTGTAGACTGTGATCTGACGGTACGGTAAACCGTACTGTACTGCGAACAGACGTGTCCTTATATTTGGGCGTAGCTCTCTTGTTATATTTGAAATAATATTATTATGCACTGAGTCCGTAATTTCAAACCTGCGTGCTCTAAGAGTGACGACTTATTTAAAGGATCGGCTGCAATATGAAATATATATATATATGTATACAACATTGAAGTCATGGCCGGGAACTTTAAAGGTATAAACTAGACAAAATGATTTGAATCAATGCAATAGATATGATGGTCTTGTAAAAACCACGGTATTTAGTAACCGTTAGGGAAAATAAGGTTTCTCTTCGAAAATTGTGACATATGGGCATGATTACGTCACCCTGAAAATTTCTGCTGCCAGTATTCGAATTTATACGACATAATTTTTGCTTTTTTTAATTTTTCAGAACTAACGGGTGTCAGATTAGTTGGGCGGAGCGCCAGCAGTTATGGTCGAGTGGAAGTGTTTCACGATGGAGTCTGGGGGACGGTTTGTGACGATTCATGGGGTTTACCGGATGCCAAAGTAGTTTGTCGCATGCTTGGTTTCAAAGGAGCCAGTTCCGCACCCATGTCAGCTCACTACGGCGCGGGTCAATCCAGTGTGAAAATTTGGCTAGATGACGTTGGGTGTTCAGGAACAGAAAGTAGCATAGGTTCTTGTTCCCACAATACATGGGGATCCCACAATTGTAATCACAACGAAGATGCCTCTGTCAAATGCATCACATGAAGTTAAATAAGATCAACACAAATACTTTTACAGATAGTACGCAGTGTCGAGTTGATATACTAATGAGTGAAAAATAAACTTGTAGTTTCAATAATGAATGCTTCACCAGACCTGCCTGTCCTAATGTGTATACTGTTGTATATAAAGTATATATGAATAAAAGAATAATAATTTTACATTGGTTGAGTTTGAGTACCCCTCCAAGCAAGATTCATTTCTTTTGATATTCTGAGAAAACCGCTTATTCTTCAAACCATTGGTCGTTTTCTTGATACTCCCTAATTGTATATCTAGTCCAGGGATGACGTCCATTATTAAATGGAGTCAAATATTTTATTTTTATTATGAAAGAAGAGACTGTCGGTAACAAATATTTAATCAATGTCCGTATTATTTAACAACTCGCTGTTGCGTTTTGTCCGCAAGTCCTTTAATGACAATATATAGTTTTGGGCTTCATGAGCATTCATATCGGGACTGAGGCAATATTTGGTACTCGATTTTATGATATTCCTGTACAAAAACACAAATTCTTATGCATATGAACTGTTGATAAGGCGTTAAAAATGCTATGGTAAACCAATTCACAGAGTTTAAAAGAACATTTCACTTTGAGAGCATTATAATTTTGATCGATTTCCAGTCGCATTGACGTCACGTCTGACTACTACATTGTTATTTCAATATTTTGGTTATTAACTTGAGTCTATAAATTTTTTTTCTTAACCGCATTTTATTCGGAGAAATAATAAACTGCAAAGTAACATATAGTTTGTCTATACACCCAAAAACATTTTGCTGCCGCCCTTGGTTCATACGCGTCCAAGTGGAAATCTCTGTAACAATAAAAATTTGCGAGAAATAAATAGATGATTCGTATGTTCCACAATGTTTCGTATACAGACCGACAGATATACTTTCAAACACTACCACCATTGATCCACGGCACACTTTTTAAGTTTCAGAATTTCTATATCAAAGTTTATACAATTATTGGCACTTTTATCTCTACTCATGTAGTCTGAAGACATTTGAACACCTTAATGTAGATTTTCGAGTCTTTCCTTGGTAGCAATGTCTGATTATCGGTCATTCAAAAGTATGTGTACCAGATTAGGGTTAGGCCATAAGTTTAATAATTTACTTGTATTACGAGTTCGGGGACTGTTTGTGTAACCAAGTGAATATACCCCCTGCCCATAGGCTTCAGTCCCTTTACACAACTTGATGTAAAATAGGCGAACGAAAATAGTTACCTTCATATTGGTACACACACTTCTGGAGCGCCGAATTTTCTGGTCAAAAAAGTGTCGAATTTAGCACTAATAAAGAACGAGCCTCTACATAAACATTGCACTTGACTGTAAATACACGACTAATGTAGCTGCCTGAATACCAAACCTTCTGTCAAATAGTGAAATCTATATGCCAGGAGACCCTATGCCACCTCTACACCCAATTGTTATATCATAAATGTTTTATGTTGCCGTGCCTGTATACTATAGCATAGCGGTTCCCAACTTTATGTTCGTACGTCGCCAAAGCATCACGGCGCACTACACGAAAATAAATTGCCGCCGTTAAAATAAGACTCAATTTTGTGATCGTTAATGTATACTTTATGCTTTTTAAAGTTGTTTTTGAACATGCAGACCAAAAGAATAACAATAACTATACCAACTCTTCTTTCTCATCTTCGCCAGACTTTCTTTTAAAATACTAAAAAAAATCACTCATGTTCGCTAAACTGGGACAATCGGTAGTTAAGAAAAACTGCAGCTCACGAAATTGCAGCAAGTAGGCTACTGTACGTAACGGTGAAAGCAGACGCTGCGTAACAGAAAGTAAACGACATAGAAAGGTAAAATGAATTCATATACATAGCAAAACAAGAAACAATAAAACATTATAATAAATACATCATGTGAAATATTCAATTATACAGGGTGTCCATTTACAATTTCGATTTTGTTATGAAGTCAGTTCTCAATACATCTTAACCAGGTTTGTTGTTTTTTAATCAGAAATTGTTCAAGTGTTTTTATTTCATTCAATATGTAGCGTACCGGCAATGTATGAAATAATTATCCAGGTTCAGAATATCTTCTAATATGATCTGACGTCAAGTTTTCTCTCAATAGTCCAAGTCTTTATGCTATTTTATGTCATTTATTAACAACTCGAACAGTAAACGATCCAAAACAACCAAACACTCCCCAAAGGAACGAAAAGCATAAAATAACAGATACCAGGCAGTAAAATGCAAGAAAGACCACATACACAACAAAAATACTGACCAACCCTGAAATCCAAGACAACTCTGAATAAAAAAACCCAATGACTCCTAGAATCTGGTACAATGAACTAGCTACTGCAATTTGCAAAACAGGCCGAAAGTAACTTATGACAGGCATTTAAAAAGACTATGAACAATTCTATAGGTGCACAACATTTGAACAATACTGATGAAAGCTAATTCCACGATAAAACTGAAAATACAACACTACGGTAAATGAACTGCAATGGCACCTCACTGGTAAAAACAATAACATGGTCCCTACGTCAGCCCACTGTCCAGCACAACACAGACAAACATCCCTGAAGACCAGAGGCATTCACACAGACATTCAAAACCCACCAATCTAACCGAAACACTCAGACGACTGCACTCTGTCACACACAGCATACACCAACAGACCACGCTGCCCCCGAGAACCGATCGACCGTGTCGCAGCGTTTAAACTGCTAGACTACCAAATATGGAAACGATATCACATGACGTCATTTAACAAATAAAGCAAGGGTCCTAGAATACCAAATATAGAAGCATAATACATGAAGTCATTTAACAGGCAAAACAAGGGTCGTCACAAATACATCTGTGATCGTCAAAACAATGGTATTGATAAATTTCCCGTCGCAATTTCAAAAAATTTTAGGACTTTATGGGCACCGTATATATAAGTTATGTGTAACACTTTCTGTTAATTTTCGGGTTGTTATTAGATTGAATTCAGAACGGATTCATTATCAGTTTTTTATTACTGAAATGTTAGAATGTGTTTTGCATCAATTCATAACTTGGCAGGTCATCAAAAAACTTGACGGGTCATCTCCGATCTAGTCCAATAGCCTAGGGGTGCGCAACACCGGCACCATACCCAATGTGGCACGCCCTATTGAACGCAGCACGCGAACGGTTTGGTAAAAAATGTTTTTATCATACGGTAAATCCTAAAAATTGACGTTTATATCAAAGTAAACTAAATCGCCATGTTTATTCATACAAATGTGTGAGAACCTTCGTGAAAACTTTTCCAAATGCTTTCAAGACTTCCCTTGGCGAAAGAAGCGAAGGAATCTGTATACCATTCAGCGTAGAGATGTACCGTCGATATTTTTCAATATCGATATTTGTATATAGGTATCGGCTAAAATAAGCCAATATATTCAGCTATATATGATCTATAATGTTTTAGAAGACAAGTCAATACACGGATGTCGGAATGATTTTTTGTTATTGAGGTATCATATTTGCGGCATCCACTGCCTCATCGTAACTCTGAGTTAAACCCGTCCCACATTCGCGGGTAGAAACTGATATTACCCGTGACGTGACCTGGCGTTTTCTGGTACCATGACGTTTTATCACAATATTGAACTCTATAATATTTTTTAAATTCAAGTTATTACCAAATATAAATATATATACATAAACTTCAAAAATACTTATAACTATAGTTTTTTAGGATACCCAGATTTTACCCTGACCCTGGTATTTTCGCTATCAAAATTTTATTATCACATTTTGAATGAGGACAAGATAATAGCAAATCGACTCATAGGTCTATAGCAATTAACCCCCAAATGTACCCCATTTCATGTTAAAAATATGAAAACAAAGTTAATTTTTCCCAAAATTCGAACAACGAGTTTCGTTTGAATCAAATTAATCCACTTTTAGGAAAATAACAAGTTTCGTCCGGCCATTATCAAATTGAAATTTATTTTATCACGATATTTAAACACTAATTATATATATATATGTACGTTCCCATCCGTGCGATGTTCATAATTACCCATATTGAGATACTCGGAGTTTCTGTTTATAACGTGAATCACGAGCTCACGTTCACAGCATTTAATTCGATGTATGATCGACGTATAAATACGACTCCGATATATTTCGATATTTTACGATGTAAATGATTCTAAGCTTGTCTGGATAAATGTTTTAAGATTTGTATTCTGTGTATTGTGGAAATCTGAGAATAAAATCAAACAGAGTTTTCTAAAGTTTCTTCATTAACGTGGGCGTTGAGGCTGAAGGGTGAACGGGCGACAGGCAGGTTTGCGACAGTCTACGAAATAGCAATATACGGTGACATCACATTCATTTACCAATTATATATGCTATAGGTCCATTTAGTGTCCAGTTATTTATGGTAGTTACGAAATTAATATTAATCAAATAGCACAACGAATTTTCCCGTTGTGTAAAATACAATATATAGTCAGGGTATTCATATAGTTCAAAGTGTCCTTGAAGTCTTGAAAAATTGCCAAGGGAATTTATCGATACAATATAATTGTTTTGTGAAGTAAAAATAACCAAACAATACCTGACTGGAAAACAACAAACCTGGTTAAGATAAATTGAGAACAGACTCCATAACAAATTTGAAATTGTAAATATCATTATGTCATAATATCATGCGTACGCATATATATATATATTGGTTCAAAAACATTTGTTTATTACCATCTGTACTTTCATGTAGCCAACACACTGTGAGCTTTCCAATTGAACACCGCGACTCCTAGGGCCAGTGCGAAACGAACGTATTTTCTAATAAACCGTTAGTATTGACTAGTGAGCATACTGACACGCCATTTATGCATTCGAATCACAAATCATATTTTAATTTTCTGGAATACCTGTTTTTCTATCTGAAATACTGTTTCCTGTAAATACAGTTTTCAGACGAATATTTCATTCCGTCTCTTCGTTAGACTCAAAATGATAATTACATATTATCGGTATCGGTGTTTTCTTGTTGGTATTGGCAATAATACTGATATATGTTCACCTCTAATCCAGTGTGAATATATTAATGGCGATGTTACAAAACTGGGACTTTAAGCTAAACAAGTTTTGCGTGATGTTCTCCAAAAAAAGTTTTACTTTCGCCTCGAAAAAGAGAATTATCCACATATTGTCGAGAAATGCATCTGAATTCGTCAATTTCTACGTGCAGTCGGGTCAAACAACGCGAACTAATTATTTCTTAATAAAAAAAAATGAAGATTGAATATTTTACTTCATAGGCAGGAGTGTTGAACCTGAACTGACGACGACAATTATTGACGTTAAGTGACGGATGACGACTCCTGTCAGACAGATGAGATACTAAGTTCCGAGAACTTGTCGGATCTCGAAAGCTCTGTGCTATTGCTTGTATATACCCCAGCAGCAACAAGTGCCATGTTTCGCATGTCTCAAGACATTAGCGTGGTTGATATGCAGAAAGATCAGTGATCATATTGGGTTAATTTACTTGGTAGTCTAATACAGTGGTCGGCAACCACCGGGCCGCGGCCCATCGCCGATCCGTGGAAAGGTTACTGCCGGTCCGCAGAGAGGTGACGCAGAAACGTACAAGGTCCTAATGAAACCTCTACAATCTAATCACATACTCCACGACTAAAAAAACACCAAACCAAACAAACACAACGCATTTCAGCAGCATGTCTGACTTCACAACCAATTCCCATGTAATTATGTCACATTGACGCTGGGTCAATTGTTTCCTCAACGCCTGTATAAGAAAGTCTCACATCAGTCGGAGAGAAGATCTCTCGAACAAAATGATTCTCGCTAGGAACGTGACTAGTGACTACTCCACTACTTGCTCATAGCTAACTGGTCATGACAGTCAGTGCTAGTTCTATACTTCAGGAATCAGGATAATCATAAAGTTAACACATCGGGTAAAAAATTAGTTATGGCAAAACAAACAATAATAAAATCAAATGTTCAATCAAACACCAATCAATACCCAGACTAGAAACAGCTAGAAGGTTTACATGCATTAAAGACATGGATCAAAAGAACCATTGTCTTAGCCTAGTTACGCGGTCTTATCGACAAAAAACGCATAGGGATTAATGAACGAGGGGTGACCTTACTTTGTAAAAATGTAAATTTTTGGCGCACAATACACGGGACATCTGAAAGTAATAATAAGTTTATAACCTCAGCTCAACGATTAAATCAGTATAGAAGATCTTGAAAAAATTCTTACATTTTAAAATCGGTTAATCGTGTAAGGATGGATTCGTTTATAATTTCTGTATCCGAAGGCTTGCGAAAAACGGATCTTTTGCCAAAAAGCCACAACTAATGTGAAATTTGAGAAAAACACCAGTTCTAAAATAACAAATTAGTAATAATTGCGGTTCGGGTTAGAAATGATTTGGGAATTTGAAATTTTGGCGCAATCTGCATTCCTAGACCCCACCCGAACTGAATTATTTCTTCTCCCTTTATTTCGAGCGGAGGCGGTGGCGTTTTTTTATGGCGGGAGATATATACAAAAGATCCCAAAATACTTATCCGAAGCATTATTAACTAAAATTTTGCATATTAACCCGACACAAAATGTCATAAATCTAGGTTCGATAAGACCTATAGGTTGAAATACGTTCAAGGGCGATGATCAACGCTGGATTAACCATTAAACAATATAAGCACGTGCTTAGGGCACAAAGCAAAGAGGGGCACCACAGAAATTTTAGAGCAAAATTTTCTATAGTTTATCAGTGTTTATTAAAATATTACGAGTTCACCAGATGACTCAAACTTCAAAATGTTCGCTTATTTTTAGTCTTCATATATATATATCATATTAACCTTCTTTATTAAAAATAAATACTGAAACCTATGCATTGGACACGAAATGGGCATACGAGTCATGAGTAATGACTCACGAAACGCAGAGGCAACTTAACGCCGCGAAATCCATTTTTTTCATCTAACAACTTAGACGGACTTGGTTGTTATTGGACGATGGCACTAAGCTTGCTCAACTGTAAGTTTTTAAATTACTCAAATATAACAATTCGTAATAAAATGAGTGTCGCAAGGAAGGTGACATAAGAAAAACACGGCAAAAACGTATTTCCTTGTCCATCACACAGTGTCTGGTTTAATTTCAAGTATTACCGATATCTGTCACGAAAGAATATAATTTGAAGCGACATTAAACGCGAGATGCGGAAAATACAAAGGTAATTCTCGGGAACTAATTTTAAAATGACTGAAGGCCTTATATATCTTCTTTAAAAGAACGCCACCCATCAATGTTCCCTCTAATTTTTTGTAGTATGTGTGCGCAGAAATTTTGGTGTGTGCGCACTTTTTTGGAAATGACTAATATTTGTGCAAAAACCAATGAAGAAATTTTGGCGTTCTAACTGGGTAATGGGTGGGCCAACAACAAACCTTCTCAACCTGCCAACCGAGCACATTTTTACATTACATCGAAATAAGTCTGTGCGCAGTAAATCTATGCGTGTGCGCAGCACACGCGCACACCTTAGAGGGAACACTGCCACCCATGCAACCAGGGGCGTGCCAAACTTTTCTGTTGCCCGGGGCGAGTTTCTGATAATGCCGCCCCTTATACCTAACTTCAAAAATAATTCGGGGGATAAACAGATAAATAAAGGTCAAGTAAGACATAAAGATACTTTCAAATAACAGGGTTGAATATTTTGAATCAAAATGATTGTTTGAAAGATATAAACTAGTTTAAGGTGCACACTCGCAAAACCACCCTTAAAATGAGCACCTAAAATGTTGCAATTGTAAAATAGGATAGGATTTACATATTTATCCCGGGGGAGAGGAAAGCCGATAAGACGGCATATCCATATGGCGAACCACGGCCTCTCGTCCGGTTACCATTCCAAGTCGGGTACGGGATTAGTTTTACTGTATTGTTTGTTTTAGGAAGCATGGACTTGGTGGTGGAGGAAGCCGTAACCGACCAGTGGTTACGTGAACCACCCAACGACGGCGAGGAGTCCAGCAATCCTCTCGCACATAACCATCCCTGCATGGGATTCGAACCTGCGAACCCACGCAGAGTAGTCAGAGGTGCGGTGGCGAGCGTATTCCTAACGCTTAGCCCGCTGAGCCACACCGCCGCGATAGAAAGAATTTTTTTTGTGTCAATGGCCGGGAAAACATCCATTGCGGACTCTCCAGTCAGTCACACATGACTAAACACGTAATGTCAGCTTTTAATTTAATAAAAACACATCGAGAAAAACTTGGTTTTGCTGCCCGAAACGGCTGCCTCTTTCGCCCCCCGCTAGGCACGCCACTGCATGCAACATAATAATAGTCTGACTTTTGGCTTTTCTCCGACTTGCGGCCCGCGACCTCGTTTCTGCGGTCCTTCAACCTAGCAACCTTGAGGTAGACTACTAGGTACCGGTAAAATTTCAAACCACAGTTGTGACTTATATCCTTTGGTATTTCGATTCACGTTGAGACTGGAGGCATGAATATTCATCATCACAGTCCCTCAGGATTAGAGCTCAACCGATATTGCGTGTTTGCCGATATATAATATCGGCAGTAAACGGCCGATGTACCGTATATCGGCCATATATAACAGTTGAAAAACCTAAAAATGTTAGTAAAGGTTGTTTTATTTACTGTTGGTTGTGATTATTTTTAATGGATATTGAACTTATGTGAATTAGTTTTTATAATTAAATTACAAATACTGACATAAGGGAGCACCAAAGTCTTCAGTGCTCAGGGCACCAGAGGGGCAAAATCAGCCCCTGGCAATGATGATCGTATCTCTCCCTCTCGTCAATACCAAAGCAATTTGATTTGCGATACGTATTTTTATGGTATTGACAACTGCTTGTTTTTTGGTTGACAAAATAAAAAATCTCTCTCGGTAGTCTACCAAAACAAAGTCAAAAATTACGCGTTTTTCGAACGAAAATCGGATCTCCAACAGGCGAGCTGAGCTCGCGGCCGAGAGAGATGACCCTTGCTTTTTTACACATTTGTATTATCGAAGAACATATCTCAACAAGAACGAAAATCGGATCTCCAACAGGCGAGCTGAGCTCGCGCCCGAGAGAGATGACCCTTGCTTTTTTACACATTTGTATTATCGAAGAACATATCTCAACAAGGTACGCTCATAAAGCTCAGCACTAGAAAATGCCACTATTCCAAGCAGTAACTCAAGATTAGCTATACCCAGTTGCTGGTGGGAAGACCATCGATATGTACAGAGTTGCACTGCATTTACCAAATATTGTACTATATTTCACAAATAATCATCAAATATCAGCTCACACAAAACTCCAATTTCAAGATGACATGGCCAGGGAAGCAAAGCTTAGAAAAATCTTTTTTTCCAAAAAGTCAACTTCTCCATGAATTGAATTCCTCAAACGACCAAGTACTGCATTTTAAAACCTTTACCGAAGGTTTCCACATTCACAATCTACAATCATTGAAGGTATTGAAATTTCAAACAATCAATATTTCTCATTACCCGTCTCTTTTGGTTCAGCTATTTTTGCAAGTCCTCGAATTTTCAAATCATAGACAACCTGTGTATGAAAAATATTCATTAAAACATGATCAGTGCTGTTCAACTTTATCTACTTCATGGAACCCTTAGCTCACTTTTATAATTACTAAAAAACATTGAAATTATCAAAAAATTAGTGTATGATAGTCCAAACCAGGGTTAGCCAACACGTCGATCGCGTCTGATGTTGAGTGAATTCAATAACATTCCCAAAATTTTGCGTTGAACCAGGCATATTATGTGAGTGCGTGTGCAGTTATTTGCATATTCCGTACTCATTCGATTTTGTGTATGACCTTATTACCAACCAGTGGATCGCGAGCTATTCTGAAGAGTCGATCACGGCCGAAAGCAGGTTGGCCACCCCAGGTCTAAACTACAAAAAGAAAAATGGAGGAGACAGGAATAAAAATACAATTCATTCACCTGTTCAATTTTCTTTACATCATATTTTAGCCCATCATATTTCTTTCGTAAATAATCATTTTTCAAATTTAATAGACGAAAACCAGATTCCATCTCATTCACAAATTTTGAAATTTCCATTGGTCGATCATAATTTCCAGATATCACACTATTGACTGCTAGACGAGACTTTAAAATGAGGAGCAATGTTAAGATTTACTAACCCCAATTACTCCATACACATTATAACACAGTTGAGTCATTTTGTTGGTTGCATCTTCATAGTTTTACCACAGTACTTTACGTCATTACACCTTGAGTGGATACTCATTTTTGAAACTGCAATCTCTAACTTGCAAACTATATACCACAAATATGTACTCCCATGTGTGTGTACCAAGTTAGAGTTAGGCCATGACTTTATTCCGATTTTCCTTATTTTGATTCTACTACCAGTTCGGGACTGTCTGTGTTAGCCAAGTGAATATACCCCCTGCTTATAGGTTTCAGTCCCTTCACACAACTTGATGGAAAATAGGCGAACAAAATTAGTTACCTCCACATTGGTACACACTTCTGGAGCGCACACAATAATACCAATCGGAACACAATAAAATCATAAAGTGTTAAACTAAATGAAATAAGTAAGCAACCAATCAACATGAAGACCAAATTTACTGGTATTTCACTAATTTGTAAATTACATGCTTCAATTTTAAATGAACAAAATTTGGAAAACTTGAAGGATATTCACACTCTAATCCAGCTAGTCACCAATAGTAAAGCAATACTGACCAATTCATTTGCAAGCATGAGAAGTCCACAGAGATAATCTTCTAAATCAATATGAAAGCCTTTCTTCCTATCCACCTGCACTTGAAGGTAATTTTTTCATAAAAATTGGCCCAGAATATGAATTGCAATGATCGAGAGACGAGCAATACTCTCGCGCTTATCCATCCCACTTGGATTTTAACCCAAGCGGAATATCTGGGTACGATGGCCTGTACACGACAAACACCTGGTGCCAGCTGAGCCAGCAGAATAGTTAAATAGCTGCAGAATCAAAATATCATGAAGGGATGATATGAAGGAACTTGTGTTGTACTTATAAATTGAATCAAAGAACATTCTCAAAATAACTCTTACTATGTTTTCCTCAAAAATGTTATATTAAAAAATGGGCAAAAAATGAATGAAAGATATAATTATTGAGGTATGCTTACTACACTAAAAATAGCTCTGCCTACACTTACCTCCCAACATCGACATGACCTGTTCTCTTGTTGCCAACTTTTCATCTTCAAGGTAAATTATTAAGGATGCTAGAAAACACAGTTTCGTACTTACATTCTGTAAAATAATATTTATACTATGACTACTATTTTCTCAAATCATCAGCGAATTATAAACCTCCATTCACATGTACAACCAACAGTGAAAAAAATCCTAACAGCATTATCAATACAACCTAAAAAACTTGGTACAGCTGGATACAGATGAGGCTGGATCAGGGGTGAGCAAGGTTTTTGGACCAGGGGCCAAAAATTTTGCCCACTCAGACTGGCGGGCCATATAAGTGTGACGATAAAATTCAACATCTCACAAACAATATATACAGTGTTAAAAAGGTGAAAATAATAAGCCTCGCGTCAAAACTAAATTGAATCTCAATCTCAACAAATCCTTGAGCTATTTTTTACCTAAAACATCAAAACTTGATTTTAGTTAGGTTGTGGCAGCATCAGGCGGGCCAGAATGAATTATGTCAGGGCTAGATAATAGACAAACGATTTCTGACATTAGATTGGTAGAATTTTTTTTAATTTATTCTTCAAAAATGCAGTCAACATTTTATTGAAAATTTTGAGAATGGTATATTTCCCTTTTTTGTAAATGTTATGTGAACAATTCGGTTCAATATTTAAAAAAATAGCATAATATATGTCAAACATTGTATCGTGAAAATATAGGGTCTAACCATGAGAAGTCTAACTGCAGGCACAATAGTTAGTATATCACTATATATTCACCAATAATTGAATGATCATCCAAATAATTTTTCCCTACCTGCCAATGTGACAAATACTTGTAATAATCTCCATCTGGAACTTTCTTTGAAATACTTTTATATATAGATTTCACTGTTTCAAGTATATGTCTGGATTGTTTACATATTGGTAAACCTATATAAACAATTAAAAAACATATTTTCATAATATTCAGCAAGAACAGAATAATAATAAAATTGATTTGACTTGACATTTTCCTAAATATAGAAATATGGAATAATAAGCAGAAATCAATAAAATTTCATGGCTTGAGTTTTTTCATTCATTATCCTTTATTATAATCTTTATCCTCTGGAAAGGTGAATGATCGCAAGTACACTTTGTGAAATCAATGTACAGAAATGAATGTAATTTGAGGAAAATAATACTGTAATATACTGAACATACCATATTTTTACTTAGTATTTAAAATATTATAATTCCTTAAGCTTTATACATTATAGTTAACGTTAAACAAAATTGAATATGTGTAAGTTGCAGTGCAATACATCAAAATATAGCCTAGTTCTTACTTTCATTGGAAGAATTTTGCTGATGAATTGCTTGTAATAATGTAGCAACTTGCCGTGCAGCTTGTTCCAACTCTCTAATGTCATCTGTCAGTGACTGCCACAAAAACATTTGTATTTTCATTCCAAGCATGAATGGTTATATTAAAGCTGCAGGTCCATTATTGCATTGCGCCTTAATTTAGACTCAAGTTTATTTGTCAATTCCAAAGAACTGCTGAATATGCAACGCAACTCACCTCTTTCACATTGTTATCTTCTATCAAACAAGTTTCTAATGCCCGGAACATGCCAAACACGGGCTGGGAAATTGCCATTCAAGTACAATCAATAACAACAAACGTGCGATATCAGGAATCAGGATACAGACAAAGTGAAAGAGTAGCGTGGTGCTCTGCGATGGCCACAATTACTTGATTCAGTTTGAAACCAAGTAATTTCACCGCTGTTTCTAACAGTATGTTACCGATGCGCAGACACAAAGCTCACGGGCGCAACCTCGTGAGAAAAAGTCAAAACAACACTCTGTTGCTCCCGAAAAATTAAAACGGAGCCATAATTCAAAAGTCAAGCAACTAAAATTATATCGATATTTTTTTTCATATTATTAGGTAGATGTTATATACAAAATGACAGTATAAAATTTTAAATTTTGGCAAAGAAAACAGCCAAACTAGTTGAGATAGTCAGGCTGATAAATACCGTGTTTCCCTGAAAATAGGACAGGGTCTAACTTCCATTTTCTTCCGAAAAATAACACTAGGGCTTGTTTTCGGGGGATGTCTTATATTTTGATTTATCAAAAACTGCAAAACATAGATTAATTATCAATCATTTAAAACGTGTAAGAGAGATTTATTGCTATCGACTAGGGCAAAAAAATGCGTTATTGAATAGGTCTTATTTTAAGGGGAGGGCTTATATTAAAATCATAAAACTTCAAAAGGAAAACACTAATTTCATAAAGCCCACCCAAATTTTTGAAATAGGTTCATAGAATTGGGCCACAACAACAATCTTCAACTACCGAAAAAAAATCAATTAACCCGTAGTTAAAGATAAGAGTGATTGTTCACATCAACGACACGACAACAAGTCAACTAATCGAGGATATATATATATTTATGTACATAACGCTTCCCTTTACTATGTTCTTCGCTAATATTTTTTACAACTCGCTAGGCGGCTAGACACTAGAATGGATGTTTTTCAGCTGTATGCTCTTAATTACCTAACCGAGTTAGCAAAAACTATGTCACGAAGAAATAATAATGGAAAATAATACTGAAACAAGATTAACTGTACCATTTTTCTGGACCTTGCGAAGGCTTTCGAAACTGTAAACCATCGTATTCTTAGAAAAACTGCATCATTACCGCATTCGAGGGAAATCCTCTTGTTTTTTTTCTAACAAAAACTAAAAAATATTGGCTTTATGTTCTGGTGAATTTCATATTGAAGTGTTACTGTGCAGTAATCGTATATTTATGTTGAAGTATTACTGCGTGAAAACTTGACAGCACCTATTTTGCTTGAGTAAAGTCATGCCACAATTTCAAAGTAAAAATGCAAAAATCTGGTAAATGATTGTTTTTTTTTTATAAAAAATGATTGTTTTTTATAGTAGTTTAGCGGCCATAAAGCAATCCATGTCGTTAAGTATTTAAAAGTGCGACCGTACATTTGAACCCGCGTACATTTGACCCCATGTGTATATCCACGGGTTCAAGCTATATGCGGGTGCTAAAACCCATGGGTTAGGGTTAGTATGGATTCAAATATCCGTAAAACAAACAAAAAAATTCTATAGGTGCAATGGTATGCAGGTGCAATTGTCATGGGTTCAAATGTAATGGTACCATTTAACAATATCTTTGGGTCGCGAGATTGGACAAACTTTATTTATTTTTGTTTTAAATTTGGGGAGCGTGAAAAAAGGTTGGGCTGTTTTTTAGACGATAAAAGTGTGACTTTAATACGTACCGGTATCATCGCAGGTAAGGCTTTACTTTGGTGATTTCAATAAAAAAAAATTTCCAACATAAATTTTGGTGAATTGAACGCTCAGCATAATATTCTTCTAAATGTCACTAATTTTATTCACTAATGGCCTATTGGGCGAGGGATCAGGAAACTAGACAAATCGTCAATTGCAGGTTTAAATAGGCGTAAGCGTATGGCACTATAATCGTGCAGCATTTGTCTCCAGTGATCATTTGAACTCGTATTAAATGTTTTGCGATCGGAGGCGGGGCAGGGGGCGGCAACTTTGATGACGCATAATCGCACCACCTTGCACTGACTGATTTGATTGGATAATAAAATGGCCTCAACATCACGCGGACACGGATGAGTGCTCCATTGTTGCAACAGACAAACATTTTATTGATGTTTTGTTCGAATGTTAGGGTCTTACGTTAGTTTTATCGTTAAGCTGTAGTTTTTTGCAAAGAAGTCGTGTGTATAATAACACAGAGAATATACTTGTAGGTTAATAAACTGAATAGGCGTATTGGAAGTTTCCAAAATGGAAACTAACGACGATTTTTTGTCAAAATCTGATCACGACGGATGGTTGGATGAAACTAATTGTTTCTTACTTGACCCGGAATTACAACTGGAATCTACTAACTTGGATAAAAGTTGGGCTGATAACATAACTCTTGAAGGTGAATATAAGCATGTTCAGACATTTATTTTGCTTGATCAAGAGATTCCATTTCGGCACACTATATAGATCAAACGACATTGTCTCGTTTCAGAGAAACCCATTTTACAGATGATTAGACACCCCTCCTTTGGGGAACGTCTGGACATAGTTGTCCCTCAAATTCGGTAAAACTACAGTAAATTGAAGTTGCGCAAAAAAAGTACAAAGAAGCGCAATCTAAAAAGTCATATTGGATTCTGAGGTTACCGTACGCATTCTGTAATTAAGTTCAGGTTTCTGCGGTTCCAGAATTCTGGGTTTTGATTGGCAGAGCTTACCGGTACTTGTTGGCATGATGGTGAGCAGGGAAACTGGCTTAGATATGTAGATAATACAGTAGTACTCTAATATGCAGAATATGGTTATGCTGTCATATCTGCTGATCTGTATATACTCAAAGTGAAACTGCGCAAAAGTCGACATGACCTGTTTGAATGTCATGAGCCATCTTGCGATCTGTAAAACACATTCTAATGAAATTTACTATTCAGCCGTTTCATCCAGATATCTCTGTATGTTGTACTGCTGTGATTGATTTGAGGGATTTGAGTATGAATACAGAATCTGTCTTTGTAATTGGGTTTAGTATTTTGCACTTCGTAAAGTTCATATTTTTTTCAGATATTCTTGAAGGAATGAATGATTGTGAGACATCTAGAGCAGAAAAAATTGGCAATCAAACATTAAACCAACTTCTTGATTCACCCCCTCTGCCTGCTCCTGTAGTTGGAACTTACACGGGTGTGGGCATTGACAATTTGTACAAATGTGACGAAGTACCGAAAGTAGAGAGTATTCCCCCACCAGAATCACCACAAGAGACCAAACCTGATGTTCATCATATTCCTAAACCGATGGTGTGGATAAAAAATGTTTTTTATTCATTGTTCTTGAAGTTTTACTTGATGACTGTTTCATGAAATTTATTTTGTATTCTTGGTTCGTTTGAAAATATGAGATGGTCTGCGTTTGTAAGCAAATATACGAACCAAACATGTTTTTGCTCGTTGAATATTATGAGTGAATATGATTTGATTTAACAACCTTGTCCCTTCATTATGATTATTCAGAAGCTATTTCTGTTTACTTAACGTCATTAAGGTTTGTAATTCTTAAACTTCAAGCTGTAGATTCAGATTAAATTCAAAGTTGTAATTGTGGCCAGTTGAATTCCAGTATCCCAAACTAACCTGATATTTTCATTTGCAAATTTAAAACATCTAAACAATTCCTTAAAAATAATCAGTCAATAACTTTGGTTACGACTCTTGTGACAACTATAATCTTTGGACATCCCGAGTTATAAATGATTCATCTTTCATTAAAAATTGACAACTCTTTTGCAGCCAATGTTGGTGACGACAACGCAACCACAAGTCAGTAGTCCACAGATTGTTTTCAACTTACAAACGCCAGTTATTCAACAACAACAGACATTACAACAGACAACGGCATCTCCTTCACAAATTAACGTTACGAATACAAATGCGATTAATAATGGATTCCAACAGGTAGGCATTCCTGAAATGTTTAATTTTTACTGCAGGGCTGTTAAAAATATTTGTTGTAGCATAGGCCAAGCTCAATTGTGTTAGGTACATCCTGGGACATGCAGTTTTTATTTTGGCATCATCATTCAACTATATTTCTGTTACAGGTTCCCACCAATCCGATAAATAATACCAGAACAGGTGAAGTGCAGGGTGTGAGTCTCATCAGTCTGTTACAGCAATATCCACAACTTCAATCCCAATTTCAAGTGCAAAGTCCTGGTTTGCAAGAAATTCTTACAACTCCACAGACACCTCAAACCCAATCATTTCAGCAGGTTAGTAACATTTTTATGTCTATTCCATTTAAAAAAATTTGATTGAATGTATATCGTCACAACTGTTTCACATTTGTTTTAAATACTTCGCTATACTCTTCTCTTACATTATCCAAAACTTAAAACTTATCTTTGAAGTATTCTCTGAATAAAAAAAACATCAAATTACATTCAAAATCATATATTTCAGATAGTTGTTCCTGTTATCAATACATCAACACAGAGTTTCACCACCAAGACAGTTTCTGCTGTTCCTGTCACCCAGCAAACAAATGCATCAATGGAGACCGCAGACACTCTTCTCGCTGCTTTGCCATTTTCTGAAGTGATGGAAAAGTCTCATACAGATCAACACACAAAACAACCTCCAAAAAGATCTTCTCATAATGCTATCGAGAAACGATATAGGTGAGACTGACAATTTTTGCATTGAATTTTTTATGTTAACTATGTACCTCGAAGAATTTGGTTGTCTATGTATGGATGAGGATTAAGTCATCCACTACCCCATTTTGAATCTATTTATTGAATATTGTTTGTCTATTATTAGGTGTTCAATCAATGATGTACCTTGAAGAATTTGGTTGTCTATGTATGGATGAGGATTAAGTCATCCACTACCCCATTTTGAATCTATTTATTGAATATTGTTTGTCTATTATTAGGTGTTCAATCAATGATAAAATTGCTGAGTTGAGGGAGATGCTTATGAGCAAAGACACTAAATCAAACAAGGCAGCTGTATTGAAAAAGGCTATAGATTATATCAACTTTCTGACAAATGCAAACAAACGGTTAAAAACGGAAAATGCGTTTCTTCGTAAACATCTCTCATTAAATGATAAAGGTATGTGTGATTGCAATACCAGGTCCTGGAAATGGAAAAATTGTTGAATTTCTTCGAAAAAGTTTTTTTTTAAGAATTGGAGGTCAATTTTGTGACAATTTTTTTTATTATTTTTGCATCCAGTGACTGTGAGAGATCTAATTGAGAAAGATATTCGCTTGACGGACGCACATGACATTTCATCCGATGTGGACTCACCATTCCCGGCCCAACAGAGATCATCAGGTTACCCGACTCCTCCACATTCAGATCCAGATTCTCCACTATTTTCCAATCCGAGTCCAGACAGCCCACAGTCCATGGATGAACTTCTCACTGGAGCGGACGTACAGGTATGCTTGTAGTATAGAGCTGTGTTTTTGATCATTTCTGATATGTTTTTTATGACATTCACTTTGTTTTTCAGAATTTGAATGGGGGGAATCAAGGAATGGCTCATGCAGGAAAAGCTGCGATGTGTCTTTTCATGGTAGCATTTCTTGCTTTCAATCCCATTGGTACTGCGTTTCAGTCGTTTGGTTCATTCAGCGCTTCTGAAGGAGAAGATAATCATATGTATGGTAAGACAAATCTCTCCTTAATGCTAGGACTACGAATAGATTTTCTATGTCTAACCAGAGAATACAATTTTAAAATTCAGTACTAAAAAATCCTTGGAATTGATTTTTGTTGACTAAACTGTTTGAATATTTACATAATTTCTCATTTATTACTATATGATTGTCTGATGATTCTTGTTTTTTATTTCAGCTGGTCGTCGAATTTTGGGAACTGAAACTGCTTCGCACGAAACTGGTTGGATGCAATGGGGGATTGCGTGGATGATAAATCTTGCTATTACAGCACTGATTATGGCAAAATTTTTTGTTTATGGTGAACCAACTTTGCAACCACAATCTGAACGTTCTGTTGATTTCTGGAGACACCGCAAGCAGGCTGACACTGATCTTCAAAAGGTGAATTATAACGCAACATGATTGTTCCCTTATGCTTCACTTAGTCTTGCTTTCCTCAATATCTGAGGAATCAAACTGATACCCTTTTTCTATTTGCTAGACACAATTTGAGCTTCTATTGCCAAAGCCTTTTTAAATCATGCATTCTATGTTTATATATAGCGAGATATAATGGCATCGTATGGGCGAATGGTTCACTTTTTTGCTAAATTTTTCCTTCCGCCTATTTTGGAATTCTTCATTACCCCTTCAGTATGCATACGATTTTTGAAGTAATTGACTAGGTAATATTTGATCAAATATGACGTCTCATAACATGATATTTTTTTTTTACAGGGCGATTATTCGGCCGCAGCTAAGCATTTTCGCCAATGCCTTGTTATAATGGGACGTCCTCTGCCAACATCGAAATTCGATCACTTTGTGTCACTGCTATGGAACATGCTGCATCTGTGGATGAAACAAATCAAGTTTCGAACTCGTTTTTCAAGAAGTATGTCTGAAGAGGCAAGACTAAAAAAGAAGTCTGCAAGAGAGGCAGCAGAAGTCTATCACAAGCTAAATGAACTTCAACTTACTGGTAAGTATCTGGAATGAGAAATGTTGTGATTATGCAATTTTCTATGGTATGTTGATACTGCTGGTTTCCGAACAATTATTCTACATATTATGTGATATTTAGAATTGAAAGATATTGATTTGAGTCTATGATTTTTTTGCAGGTTATTCAACCGAAAGTGGTATGTCTTCTATCATATTTGCAATCAGTGCTGTTAATATGGCTGAAATTGCTGGTGAAGAATTCATGAACAAAAACTTGCTAGCTGAGATTTATGCCTGTGCTGCGCTTCGTTTCAAACATTCTGCATTCAAGGCATTCTCATTCATGGTGGTACGTATTGTATTCTTACATGATGTCCAACAGGTTGATTTGGCGTGCTCATTCTTATTACCTTGTGTGAGGTTTTAGTTTCGTCATGTCTTCAAATGTCAATTTTAGGTTTTCTCCTTAGTCTCGTAGTATGTGTACCAGGTTAGGGTTAGGTCATAATTTTATCCCAATTTTACTTCTATTACGAGTTCTGGGACTAGCCAAGTGACTCCCGTAGTATTTGTACCTGAAATTATGGCCTAACCCTAACCTGGTACACATACTACGTTCCGGCGTCCGCCATCTCGGTTCACATACTACAGGAGTACCCATTTTTTTATTTGATGAATATGAAGTATTTATGTAATTGTTCAGCCTAGCCTAATTCTCTTTTTTCAGCACTTCTTGTTGCTGAAAGCTCGAAACATTGTGAAGCACAGCGATTCAAAAAGCACGTTACGTCTCCAATGGATTTGTCATCCATTCGCACACAGATTTCTTATTGACGAAAAACTGAATTTCACAGAGGTGAAGCACAACGATACAGAGATTTTTACAATGCCGCAAAGTGGTGGGTATTACATGAAAACGCGGCATCACTGACTAATTAAAATGAACTCAAATGATTGGTTATTAATAATGAATGTCTTTTATATTTTTAGCTGATGTTCTTGAAATACTTGGCAGACAATTCAGTCAAAAAATGTTAAGCAAGGCTTATTACTCACTAGTCTTGCCTCATGATGCAGAAAACATGAACCAGGATGACAAGTTAATTGTGGATTCTATAAAAAATAATCAATCTTCACATGCTTTGGAATATATTCAGATTGCGAGGGATTGCTCAATGGATGGTATTTTTTTTTGTTCTAGATTTCGCGTTGTTTGTGGAAGTTTCGTTTAATAATAAATAATTTTCAGAATAAATCTTATTTTTTTGCTCTCCCACTTTTTGCTAGCATATTTGCTGTTGGCTTGAATACAAACTAAATTAGTAGGTACTCCCTGAAGTATGCACACCAAGATGGATGACACCGGAACGTAGTATGTGTACCAAGTTATGGTAGGCCATGATTTCAGGTACAAATACTATGGGAGTCATTTGGCTAGTCTCCGAACTCGTAATACAACCAAAATAAGGAAAATTGGAATAAATTTATGGCCCAACCCCAACCTGGTACACATACTGTGTTCCGGTGTCCGACATCTTGGTATGCATACTTCAGGAGCACCAATTAGTCTTTATGCTGAAAGACATTGTAGATTTCCTAATTTCCATGGTTTTGTCAAGCCCAGTCTCAATTGAATTTTTATTTCATTTGCTTAGGTGATGATGACATAAGCAGATGGTGGTGTGATTTTGCTTCTACTGCAGCTTATTGGCATCTAGGGTATGATGACAATGCAGAATCATACTCGGCCCGTGTGGAAGAAGTTCCAAAAAGCTTAAAAAATATCCAGTATGTAATTTTATTTTTGCTTTGATTAAGAGAAATAAGAAACAGAAACACGTTCATTTTATATATTAAATAATCTGTGGGTTGCTGTAAGTGTTCTGTAAATTATATTTCAAATGAGCTGAATATTATTAGATATACTGAATTATAGTTTTTAACACAACATGAGTGTTTGAGTATGTAATGCATTCCGAAATTGCTCGCTCCCCAGCAAGCTTCATTTTTCCAATAGTAACCTAATGTCTATAATTTTTTTTTACAGAAATCCTCTGCCACTTGCCATCTTTACTGCATTTTGTGCAAGAAGAGATTTTATCAGGCTTGAGGCATCATCTGAGAATGTTAATTTACTTGCTGCGGCTGCTAGCATTATGAAAAAATGCAATGTCGCTAGCCAAGTTTTGAATGACAGTTTAATATTCGACAACCCTAAAAGCAATAGCATGGAGACGGTGGGTGTTTGTTAACATATTCTAATCAATCCTTTATTCTTCTTCGTTATAAAAAAGGGGGCTTAGGACTCCAAACAATGCCACTGTCGAAAATGCATTGTAGTTGCATTGCACGTTGGCAAATATTTTTATATGTGCAAAGTATCTGCAAGCAACTTTGACTCTGGGCGCTATCATCTTATTTGTTGGGCTAATGAGTAAAAAGTTATCAGTATAATGTGAAAAAATTCTAAATCTGTAGCAATTAAAAATGATACCCACAGTTTTCAATGAAATTCCTGTTTGTGTGTTAGATCTAACCTGTCTTTCGTTTTTCTATTTGAGTTGTAATCAAACTTTAATTTCGTTTACATGTAGGCAATTCAATTACTTGCTTGTGACTGGCTTCTAAACACTCGCACTGGAGTGTGGCAACTTGCATATTGTACTGACGAATCGACAAAGAGAGCACCAGTTGAATATTTATCTTCATTCGAGCAAGATCTGAATTCACTGAGATGGTTGGCACAGTCGATTAAAGCAGTTGTTCCACAGGTATGCATGTAAATGCTATATATCATTGCTATCAAGTATGAATCATAAAAAATGTAGGTCCTGTATGTAGATTGTTGCTTTATTTACTTTGCGCTTATCTGCAATATTGTCTTATTAGGTATATCTGCACGAGGCAACTGAGAGGTTAATGGCAGGAGCTTGTCCTACCAGAACTCAACAATTACTTGCCAGGACCATACGTAGAAGACATCGCTCAAAAGGTAAGATTTGCGATAAGCGTTGTTTATGTTGGCCTGCTGCAGACTGCCTGATGTGTTGTGATGCCTTGTATTTGCATATCTCACTTAGTTGGTTTGCCCCTAAAAAAGGGCGTAATGAGTATATTCTGAGTGAAAAAATATTGTATAGAAGATAGAATATTCTGTGCATATCTACTAAACGCCGTAAGTACTTCTAGTTGGCGTGGCAGTGGCGGTGGCACAAACATTTTTGCATATGTTTTTCCTAACCCCCATGGGATCGTAATGAGAAAACTAGAGAAATTGCTTGCTTGATTTCAGGTGATTCTCTGCGCGTTTTAGACAATTCGTGTACATTGTTTAATCACTGATGTTATATTGACTTAATCTTTGGATGACGTAGTCAGGTGGCGTTAGAAACGACATATGCGAAAATGATTGTCACTCCAACTAGAAGTACTTGACGGCGACGGCGTTTAATGAACTAGCCCCAAATATCCCTGCTATATAAATACGAACACCCGTATAATAATGACTTGCGTCTATTCAGGCGAATCAAATGGACCTGTTGAGCCTGGCCCTCGTGAGCATGCTGCTGGTCTCATGTTAGCATGTAGACATCTGCCTCATCCTCTTCTATCTGCTCCTGGACAGAGGGCGGAAATGTTGCGAAAAGCTGTTACCACTTTAGAGAAAATCGGTGATAAACGAGGGGTTAGAGACTGTCAGAAAATGTTGCTTAAACTGGGATCTGTTGGTACCGGCACTATTGCAACGTAATCTTTTTGATGTACATATTTTTTGTTTGCTTTATTTATTTTCAAGGAAAATTTCACCCAAATTTTGTATCAATAAAATTGAAGGAAGCTTCATTTTTTTCATCTTGTTGTCGAATAATAGGCGGTGCATGTGATGATTTTGCCTGGTTTTGAAATATATTGCAGAAGAGAAAGTTACTTTTTCAAATTATTAAAGTGGTATGGTAAGTTTAGCTTGGCAGTCTGGCAGTTCAAAACGTTGATGAAATCGATTCTATACATTAGTCAGAAAATATTTGTGCGTAGAAAAGGTACAGTTTTTCTGAAATAAAAGGCATGCAAGGAACTGAAGCTGGTCATGATAGAGTTGGTGAAATCACTACATTTTCTCTTTGACAAACACTGAAAACAAAATGATACATTGATCTGGTCAGAAAGACTGGGGGGTTGTAAATTGTAATAGATTGGTTTGGCTCACAATTATTCAACCTGACTCGCTGATGCTATGCTCAAAAGAAATGTTAATGGAAAACGGTGCTCAACTACCGACCGCCTGGGCGAAAAAACTATTTTCAATTACGACCCATCCACGATATATATAATAAAATGTCATGGCGAAGATTGTTTGAATGAGCGAGGGAAATTGTGTGCCTAATAAAACATCTGAAAATACTAGCCATTGAATGCGGCATTGCCTTATTATTGAAAAGGAAAATTTCTAGCGGACATGTATGGATTAGATAGCAAGAAATTTGTAGCACACTAAAACCAGCAGATTTATCGCGTATGCGGCTATGAACATATTGAATGGGCGATTTCCAACCGTCTAGCTATTAATAAATCATTTATTGGAACATGAAATGCGCTTGCTATGGTTTAATGTTACTAAGAGGCATTTTGTTTCATATATAGGGTGTTAGGTATAATACAAACGTATATTCTTAGATTGCCAATATGACTCATTTTACATTTCACTGACTACATAATTCATCTTCTGCGACCCGAATGTACATTTGTTGCTACATTTTTTTAAAGTTAAAATTTGATGACGACAAACTAATGTTTATTTTTGTTTGAACCAACTTATTTTAAGGTGCGCTAGTAAAATATATCTGAAATTTGAACCTCCTTAAATGAGACTTCAATGAAGGTAAAGTCTCTTTACCGCCCTCGGTGACATCTGCCGCTCCATTTTACTGCATGAGAAATCAGTAATACGTTTTTGATAAGCATAACTGACACATCTTCAAGATTATACATTGCAACTTGTCAAATTGATTTCATATAGGTGTGTGTATAACCCGTGCGTGTGAAAATGTCTTTGTATATGGACAATATCTGAATAGTCAGTCCTGGGGCGCTGAAAACGGAATGCAATAACGCATATATTCACACAGTTATTAAAAACTGATGTTTGACAGCAAAACTCAATTATTTTCACCTACAAATACTGTTGTTGGAGAATTACACGAGAACGAAGTGTTACAATTAAAAACTCGGTCGGAGTTATCGTCATCACCTACCAGACTTTGCCCAATTTCGTGCTGCGTTTTTTTGTGTTGCTGTGGCATTTCGATCATAATACTACTTGATATTAAACGGTAATATATATATAGCATTTTTGGAGGAAAATTCTTTTTCGTACGAACTTAGATGGATCTTTATGTGAAATATTTGTCCTCTGTAGGGGGTACCGGTATGCTCGCTTCAAGTTTTTCATGCATACACGCTGCCGCGCGATATTTTTCTTACTTTGAGCTGCAATCAATATGAGGATAGTTGCAAAATCAAACAGCCAATCACGCCCTGAATCACTCCAGGCGTTTTGCGCAGCACGCCCTATTAGCCCGCTTTGTGCGGTGGGCTAAAAATAACACACACCGCTCGTAAACATCACGTTTTTCTAATAACCAACCCCGCCCTTCAGTTTCTGCGTCTCGTCAGAGGTCGATGCGGTAGCGCCTGACACGGAAGTATACTCTGCGAAAGGGTGTTGCCGAGAGCAAACAACATGACTGAAGAAATCTTTTGCCAAACATGGCAAGGCAATAAATCGTAGACTCTAGTCCCCGTTTATCGATTGCTCATGCAACGTACTGCGAATTGCTCTGATTAATGCGCGGTTTTAAAGGAGGATCATTGCGCATCTTGCAGAGAAAGAAAGATACAGTCACGCCCGAGCAGCACGGTCGGCTGGTTTGCTGCTAAGACAAAATTATGGGGGAGGTCATGCGGCGTGACTCAAGAAAATATGTGATGCGAAAGTGGGAAACGCCCATCGTTTTTTACCTGTTTACCCGAATACTTATGATATATATCCTAGTAGATACTAGGACTTGAAATTGTCACTTCTTGATTCTCAGTAAATTTCTCCCATTTTGATAAAAGTCCCCCTGCCGTCCTATCGGTTCAAGTAATGAGTTCAGCCACCGCCCTCGGCCCTTCCTTTTTTGTTGTCGTGAGATAAACCATATCACGTATGAGCGTTTTGTGTTGTGGCGATTTTGCAGACGCTTCGCTGAGATTAATTTGCAAGGGAATAATTGACCGCGTTCGCGACGGTGCAAATGTTGAATGCCAATTCGGTTCCAAATTAAGTTCTATATCGTATAAAACGCTCCCACAACAAAGAATTCAATCGACGTGCCGACATATTTTTCCTTGGCTTGTTGGAATAGATATACTAAAGAATAATTATCTCAAGCCAGACGATGCCTCACCGTATCACAAAGGAAGTTGCATTTCCGCATGTATATAGGGTGCGCTTCACGGAATATGGAACGTTTTTAGGTTGCGTTATTTTTCATTTTATTATACATTGATATCGACAAAGTTTAAATTGCATTGTATCGACGAAGTCAATCCTTGAACAAAAGTGCTATACTCGACGATAAACAACTTTAGTATCTGCTCATACGCGGCCACGGCCTAAATCAAATCGGAACTATTCCGACGGCATGAACTAGTTAACGCGAACAAATAGAATTTTAGCTTGGGACTCTCAATATTTTGACAGGATGTTGCTTTTTTGAATATGATCACCACGTAACAGTTTGTTATTATTTTGTTCAAGTTGCATGCCTAAGGCTATTGTTAAGAAACAGCAAATATGTGAGAGATAAAACTGTAAACGTCATGCGCCAACTGACAGAATGAGGGTTGGCAAAAGTGGAGGAGATATGGGGCATTATTAAACTTACCGTATTTAAAAATATCGCGTAGAGCAATACCGGTATGGTCGCTCGTGTTCATCATCACCTGTTACTGTGTTACTATTTGAAGATCTGTATTATATTGCTGTAATGAGAACACTCTTGTTTGATAGATATGTATTATTATCAGTGCTGATATACAACTATGTAGTAATGTTTGAATGTGCAATCGCACTGCCATTAACTCCGGATCTCTGTAACTCAATGCTTGTTTACTTACCTAAAGGCTAAAGCTAATCAGATTCTATGCTTCCTGGTTGTGGTATAGTGTCTGAAGGTAGCGGGATCTTGTGGTACACCAGTACACATATGCAGATATGGTTTGAGCAGTGTTAGATATGCATATTGCTGTATTCTCAATCTTCAGATCTAGCTGGTGCTATTATTGTTGTTTTAATGCTGTAAAGGGAAATTGAGTTGATCATATTCATATATCAGGCTATCTTATTGAAGTCCTAATACCATTCTGCCATTCTGACTTAGGCGTTGCTCAAAATCAATGAGGGTTGACTTGAATAATTCAACTTTAGGGAAGTAATGGCCATGCTCATGGAGCTTGTTTTAATTTTTATGTACGGGTCAGTTGATGAATTCAAATTGTAGCCAAGTTAAGTAGAACTTAAAATTTTAATATTGTCTTGAAATATTCAACTATATTATTAAAGTAGTTCATATGACAGCATTGTTCCTGTATACACATACACCTATAACCAGAGAGACAAGTTTTCCATTTCATTTACAATAATTTCATGCTGAATTTTTTTCTAATTATGTTCATTTTGTATTATTTTACCTAAATATTAATATTTTCTTTAATTACCATCAATTTTAGGTCCGCAATATTGTATATTGAAGTTAATAGAAGCCGATATTGTAGGATTATAAAATTAATGCAATATGCTTCATATTATTGATAATGAAGAAAATATATGATTGGCATTGAATATGGATATAAGGACAAAAATGCAAAATAAAAATCATTTACTTGAAAGTTTCATTAGACCACTGACCACTCGAACTGGAAGTTGTCCAGAGCTTTCTACCCTGGGTAGAAAAAATGATTCAATAAAGAAAATTGATAATTCAAGAGATGTGTCTCGCGAAAGCTCATGTTCTCCTATTGATGTTGTGCGTGATACAACTCCGAACTTATTCGGAACTTCCAATGTGTCATCTAAAGCTATAAATGAAGAGGTTGGAACAATCGACTTAAGTTCAACAGCAATTAATATGAAAAATATTGTTTCCTTAAATCAAGAAATTAACGAAGATGTTCCTGGGCCTTCAAATTCATGTTTTGATAGTGAAATTGATTCAAATAGTTTTGAACAAGAAAGACTTTTGAATCCGCAAAAGCAGGTTATTGTTCAACCTGGTAAAGGATCATGGATGTTGGTTCGCGGTGATGGCAAAGTTTTATTAGAAACAACAGCTGATGAACGAAAACCGGTGAGATATTGAGTTTTGTTTTCATACTAATAAGCTGTCAATGTTTGGTTTGGCCATCCGAACCTTTTTCCATCTTACTCCACCATTGTATATGTTTACACTTGAAAATATGTTTACAAAAGATATTGAATAAATTTTAAAGCCATGTGAAGAAAAGTCTTCATATCAAAATATTTATTTTTTTTTAAAAATCTATCTGGTATATTCTAAGTTAGCATGGTCCAAGGTTTTCGGCTCCGGGGGCCGATTGTTTGCGGGCCACGATAGTGCCAAGAATAGGTAAACAGTGCAATACAAAACAAACACTTTTATTGTGCAAACACATTGTTTAGTATTTGTCATTTATCAAGTTAAATCATGCAAAATCTTACTAAAACCTGCAAAAGTCTTTCTATATCTACATTTAGTGTAAGATTTTAAACTCTTTATAACAGAAAAAAAAATGCTTTCGAACATCGAACATTTTCAAGAAAAAATCTTAACCTTTAAAAAATGCTCATTGCTCACAAGATTCCAGCCGTTTCAAACTATATTTTTTTGTCAGCGACATAATTTGCAGACATATCAAGCAAGCGTTGTGGTATTTTCACTTCCAAAAATCTGTTTTAATTGGTCAACTTTCCTTTCAAACTCATGTTTACAAAATAACTTTCAAATAACTGCAGAATGATTGATTACCAAATGTGAGGTACAGGAGGGTAAATACTAAATTTTTTGACATATAGGCAGCTTTTTGTGTAAAACTGTTTAGGCTGGCTACAAAAAAATACACGGCATGAATTATATTGTTAGGTCATAAAATTAATATTTAGTTATCATCAGGCATAACCAACCTAGGCTAATAAGATCCGCATTTAATATTCAGTTTTCTATGATGCCAAAATTGTTAGCATATTTTCCAACCAAAAAGATAGAAAGAAAGCCAGATACCAATTTAGACTAGCCGAGCATGTCATTTAACTTCGCTAGTTGGCTCAGCTAACCATAACACTAGTCATTTCATAGTGATGTAACAATAAGTAAAAAGATGTTTCTGATTAATTTTATGACGAAACAACACCAAATGCGATTTTGATTTTCTGATTTGATATCTGGTACTCTCCGAATGCGGCGGGGGCCAAAGTTAATGAAGCTGCGGGCCACAAATGAGTTTGGACCACCCTGTTTTAATTGGTTCTACTTAACAGCAAAACAATGGTATATACGAGCAAAATTTCACTCTGTGGTACTGCAAAGTTTACAGAAGAGACATTCTTCATCATCATATGAAAATGCATTTTAATCAACACCATCTTTCTATTTTTTCCAATCTGACCAATATCACGGTAAATGTCAGAGTTTTTATTTGTTAATTTGTTTTGTTTACTTGTGGATGAACGCTAAAATTAATCTATAACACGGAAGTTCATCCACTGTAAAGTTGAATAACAAAACAATTTTCTTGGACGTGGCATCTAATGACATGACTTTTAGGGCGTGGCACCAAACATTCTTATTAGACCACTCCTTTTGTGAATAGACAGTGATTTTGAAGGGTGTGGCCGCACGACATTCCTATGATCGTTAAACCTGCTGTGTAAATAGTAATTTCCGAGAATTAGATTTGGCTACTTCGTAATAAAGGCCTTTAAAATGTAATAAAACTAATAGGTAGCCTCTGAAATTAATCTTGAATTATATGTTAAATTATAATCAAACCAAAAAAATTTAATATTTATACAAGGCTAAGAAAGAGCACGAACCCGAAGTGCATATTGTATTGATTTTAGAATGAATTTTGAAAATTTTTATCTGATAATGGCCTAGTGCTTTTTAAGCATGGTCCATCCTTACTCAGTTCTTGGCGGCTATAACTAGAACAAATCACAAATAAGAATAAGCTATCAGCTAACTAGATTGATAGTGAAATTACATGTATACTTCTGATTGTTCCGAACATTTTTATTTATCACGACGTTTTTGTTTTGTTTTAGAATGATCTTTTTATTGTACATCAATCATCACAAGAAAGTGCGAACATTTCTAATTTTTCTCTTCCACTGTCTTGGATAAATGCAGTATCAAATACAGTATCTACCTCACCCAATACACGACAGGGCCAAAAGGTGTTAGTCGTCGATGAACCTTCTAGTCGTCGCTCGACCGGGTCACCTCCTGAAATGACCCACAAGTTAGTAAACACGAGAAGGCGATCAAGAAACGTGACAATAAACAGGACAATTAGAGACAAATTGGCACCTCTAGTGCTTACAGATAGTGACGTTGTTCCTTTAGACTTGACGTCAAAAAGTCAAAGTTCAATGGTGTCATCAAGTATTAACACGCAAAAACGAACACATAAAGAAATTAACAATACTGGTAAAAGTGTTGATAAAGTTGTCGATGAACTTACGAAAAGGAGAACGCAGTTTGCAAATGTAAAAAGTTTGTCAGAAAGCACAGTGAAAGAAGCAAATTCGATATTTGATAATTTCCACAGTCATGCGTCACCATCAATATTATCAAAGTCACTTCCTAACTACTCGCATGTTGTTTCTTCTTTTCGACCATTGGAAATGGAAGGTTAGTATATTATTTTTATACAGCGGTTACCTGCGCCTCTCACTTTAGCAATGTTTTTTTAAATCTATCGATGTGAAAGGAGCTGATATTTATTTGGAAGATCGATAATCCCTCCGGTTGGCATGGCCTACCCCATTTATTACTCTGTGTGTTAGGTGGGAGGGCTTGGACAGATTTGGGCTTGAGATGTGTATCGAATTCAACAGACCATAAGGTGCACTTCAATAAATCCTTGGTCGGCTCGTGCGTCACGATGGTTTAGCGCAGTTGTTCCCAACCTTTTTCAGCGCTATAGAGGGAGGTATACTTTAATAAATCCCCTTTTTCCAAAAATCAGTCGTGCAACACAATGGTATACGGCAGTTATTCCCAACCTTTTTCAGTTCAATGGAGAACCGTTTTGAAGATTTGCCTGAATCTAGTGAACTCATTTAAATAAATTGAGTATAAAATAAAAAAATACATTTTTTATGTAAACAATGCTCATCATAGAAACTTCCATGAATTTGGATCATGATATAAAATGTTGCCTGCCAAGTTTCACGCAAGTACAAATGGTTTTAAATGTACCATTCAAACTTGATCAGATGATAAATTGATTATTTGAAGCGAATAAAAATATTTGCTAATGAGTAAGGTCTTGTGTCACCCAGATATTTGCTTATTAATGGAGGAATTTTTCTTTTCGTTTCAACCAAGCTGAAAACTATAACACAGGAACTAAGTCCAGGGTTTTTGAGCATTAAAATTTAAGATATTTTGTTTTAGATCAATCAGTCGGGATATATTGTAAATTATTTCCTTATATACTAAACTCACAATTCTAACATAAAAAATGTGGTACTTACGTAGTATGTATACTAGGTTAAGGTTAGGCCATAATTTTATACCGATTTTTCTTATTTTAGTTCCCATACGAGTTCGGAGACTGTCTGTGTTAGCCAAGTGAATATCCCCCTGCCCATTGGTTTCAGTCTCTTACACAACTTGATGTAAAGTAGGCGAACAAAATTATTTACCTCCATTTTGGTATACATATTTCTGGAGCGCCAAAAATTCTATACTGCCACTGATGATTTAGAAGTATTAATTTGAAGTTCATATACATTAATAACTAAGCATGCCTGTTTAAAGACCACACTGTGGCTGTCTAAACAAAACTTATCAGATGATGTAACATGTCATGTTTTGTATCATCCCATCCCTCAACCTATTGTTGCATTTGATCTTGTTTATCGTCGAACTATACGTGCATGATGAACTTTAACGTGTGCTAGGGATGTCAATATTGATTAGTAGAATATGAATATTTTTGATATTCTAGAATTCCATCTTGCAATCAATTTTGAATTATGCGCTAAAATCAATATATATTCCAAATTGTTTTAAAAAAGTTATGGTTTCAGTGCAAAAATGGCAAAATTTGTAATAAAATCAGTATCCTTTTGGGGATAGCATTTATTTTGAATTTCGTTTTCATCAACCCTAATTTGAGAATACCCATAGAATAATTCAGGTTAGATTCTACTCTAATAATCAAGTTTTTACTTATAATTTTATGACCTTGCTTCGAACATTTGACTTTCCTTAAAAATATATCTAGAAGTAGAAATTTTCTGCAAGGCTGAATTGAGAAAATCAGCCCTTCTCTTCTACATAGTAAAGAATAGGGATGGAAATAATAAAATTTTTTAATTCTTAATTTTTCTTTCGAAATTATGACGTATCATTTTTCTCTCTGGCAGATATTTACTCAAATGGACATTCAAGTGGAGAGAATATTGATATGGATTCGCCGAGTTTTGTAGTTCAACGAAGAACATATGACAGACGGCATATTGATATTGTTAAATCTGAATTTGAAGATGAAATAAGGAAGTTGCAATCAAAAAAAGACACTGATCAAATGTTTAAGTATGATGTTTATATTGTTAATGTTGAATTTATTGGTGTCGAACAGTAAACATCTGCAAAATTACATCATCATCTCATCTAAGGGTTAACTAAGTCATTCTGGAAAGACCCTCGCTTTGTAAGAAACATTAACGGGCTTTACATGGATTTGTTATCTGGGGTTTATAAACAAAGACCTTCATCAGGTACCATGTGTCATTTCTGCTTCAATTTTAAAATCAATTGACTGTAATATGTTTTTTTCTTTGACTATAATGCATTGATATTCTATGCAATCTTAATCGTATGTTGGTTTTTCATTATTAAATGTGGCACATAAAATAGCTGATAAAAATGCATTTAAAGCAACACTGCACAGCTGTACAGAGCTGTTGGGTGTCTTTGAAAGGCCATGGATCTGAAAAGTTTGAGAATTTCTGATTTAGAAACTAGGTTTTGATCAGTTTTCTTAATAAAGTAGAATAACATGTGGATGACTATAGGAATATATTAGGTTCTGGTTTTACATTCAAGAACAAACTTGTAGAGCAGACATATCAATTTTTTTCAAATATGATGTAATTTCAATAGCTTAGCTCCAAATGCTATATATATGTTTGGATGTCGCTCTCTTGATTTTGTGAAATTCATAGAGATTATTTTTATTTCAGAAATGAGGAACAGGTTCCATCTCACTCAAACAGACTGCAAAATATAGCATCCAGTTTATCACAACCAAGTCAGGTAAATACAATTAAGATTTAGTATTTACAGGATTACAATTTGGTGCCGACTTCCTTGATAGAAGTATATATGTCAAATGTTTTTTTTTGATTGTTCTGTTAATAATGGAATACATTAGGGCTGTGCAACATTTTTTGTCGGTTGGCCATATAACCAACTTTAGACATTTAGCTGGACCACATAAAAAATTTAATTTTAATTTATATTTTCTGACAAACATTTTACATTCTGGACAGACTTGATTCATGTTTTTTGAATATAATATTTCTGAATTATCAATTTTAAATTTCACGATATTTCTTACAATAGCCTGGACGAAGCCAAGATGATAGTTTTATCGGCAAGAAAAGACGAGTTCATTTCTGTGATTTTCAAGGATGTGGGAAAGCCTATACTAAAAGTTCGCACCTGAAAGCACATAGACGAACACACACAGGTGACTGACTACTTCTAGTTTCTATGTTTTATACAAAAGTTAACAAATAATGAATCTTGTTTAATTTACCAAATTATTGATGGAAGCACTACCTAATAACTAAAAACCTAGTTTTTTTTTTATACAGCAATATACAGGGTGTCTCAAAAGTAAGTTTACACTTTTAATTTTGATTTTCTTCCCAGGTACTCATCATACAGCGTTCATTTCTTCAGAAAACATAGTATGTATAAGTAGTAGAATTTAGGTATTGTTTGCATTTTTTTTTCAATCCACACTCCACAGAATGACAAGGAGATTAAACCAAAAATGAGGTGCAAAATTGCTTTTTGGCAAGAAGCATATAAATCAGTAAGGCAAACTCATCGACTTTCAAACAGAGAATTAATTTGGCTCCTACACGATGAACAATTATGCAGTTCATCGTAAATTTATGAAAAAAGGATCTGTAGTTGATGCGCAAAAATCTGGAAGACCAAGGAGCGAACACTCCTTCGAAGCCGAATTCCAAATTCTCTGTTAAAGAGCACTAAGTTTGCCTTACTGATATATATAAATCTGGCCAAACAGCAATTTTGCTCCTCATTTTTGATTTAATCTCCTTGTCATTCTGTGGGTTGATAAAAAAAGCAAACTGTAGCTGAATTTTACTAATTATCCTTACTAAATGAACGCTCTATGATGAGTATCTGAAAAGCAAATCAAAATGAAAAGTGTATACTTTTGAGACATCCACTCATAAGGATCTACTATTTTTGAAAGGACTTGATTCTATCTGATGCGGCATTGCCCACAGAATTCAGTACACCGCGAGTGGGCATGTGGCCTGAACCAGATATTGTTAATCATTGATGCCCGCCGATGCCCCTGTAGACCGACTGTAACCGACCAGCGACTGCATGAACTACCTTACACTGCATGATTTATTGGTTAATTCCAACTTTCACAGTATTATGAGTTGAAGATATACTAATGACAGTTTTATAAATGATGATTGTTATCTTTTATTTTTTTTTATTTCTCATTGAAATTAACCATAGTGTTATTTTTTTTTGTAGGCGAGAAGCCATATAGATGTACTTGGAACGGATGCACTTGGAAGTTTGCTCGATCCGATGAACTCACACGACATTATCGTAAACACACAGGATACAAACCTTTTCGTTGTCATCGTTGCGATAGAGCTTTTTCTCGTTCTGATCATCTCGCTTTGCATATGAGAAGACATCAAGTATCTTAGTACTACTTCTTCGAAGTGACAAGGTTTTTTGCTTTATGACTCACTGGTGGGAATGAAGTTTAAGATGAAAAGTCTACAAAATCAGCTAATTGCTGATTTACAACCCGCTTATAATCAAGTTATATTCAGAAAGAAGCGGAAAATTTCCCATCTGATCAAGACTTCAAGGGGTGATATCATCACATACATTTTGGGGCGCTCCAGAAGTGTGTGTACCGATATGGAGGTAACTAATTTCGTTCCCTCACTCTACATCTAGTTGTGTAAAGGGACTCAAACCTAAGGGCAGGGGGTGTATTCACTTGGCTAACACAAACAGTCCCGAACTCATAATAGAACTAAAATAAGGAAAATCGGAATAAAATTATGGCCTAACCCTAACCTGGTACACGCACTACAGGAGTACCCATTTTGGTGTCTATTATCCACAATGTGTTTTTGTACCTATTGTTGGGGCGATGCATCTTTTTGAGCTAAGATAAGACTAAGTATATTTAATTGTTTTAAATTTAAGCAGAAATTGTTTGTTATTACAGTGACTCCTTTTGCAATCATTTAAGAAGTGACAGATTTTATTTGTTTTTGATTTGACACTCATTTACATTGACCTTCAATCCGAGTTTCTCGGACACAAATTTTTGAAGAATCCAATCTTTCTGTGGAGTGTTCACTTCAAGCATGATTCTTAAGAACAACAGCAGTTTGTGATCAGAAAAAACGGGGTCGGTGAACACACTTTGGTATTATTAGACAACTGGAAGTCCAAACGTATCTATTTCTATGCGATATTAAGGATTCTGTGTGTAAATATATATAGGAAAAAAAGAAAATATTCTGCATAAAATATCTAATATGCAGTTAAAAAAGTTCATCTTACTCCAAATTGTAGGTGTGTTATTATATTACAGTATTGTCCTTAGTTAGGTGTTAAGAAATTATCTTTGAGAAGGTGGAAAATATTTAATAAATATAAGCATTGTTTGTTATTCAACAATTTTGCAAATAGCAGTGATAAAAGTATTTAGGCGGATAATAGATTTCTATCGATCTTAATTGGTCTATAGCCCTGCAAGGCAGTTTGCTCTAAGCATGTTAACAAATTAATATTGTTCAAAATATTTGGTCATTAAAGGAAATCATGGAATTCCCAAATACAAAGATATTTAGTTGACTTTTTACTAAATTTTTGGAGCTCCTGAATTATTTGCACCAAGATGGCGCACAACCTGAACGTAGTATGTGTACCAGGTTATGGTTCAGGTTGTGCCTCCGGGAGCGCCAAATTTATTTATGTGCCCTTACTTACATGCCTTCAAAATTATTTTGTGTGAAGTCAAAAAGAGACCATTCTCAGTGACACAGCTCTGCAGGCGTGGCAATGCTGAGTGTGGAACAAAGATCTAACTTTAAGATTACTACAGCCATAATAAGCATGGTTACTGTCCCAAATACATGCATATATACCTTTGAATCGCTGTCAAGACGTTTTTGTGTTGGCTGTTTGTTGTAGCAACCAAACCAACCAATTGCACATATTCCAAATTTATCCACTTATCTTAACTGATCAGATGCATATTAAAGTTTTGTTGATGCATTAAAATATAATTGCATATATTTTAATGCAATCAATACTTCTGTTTAGGCTGGCGACTGTTGGTTTTTCATTTTAAATTTCAGCTTCTGAACTATTCTCCTCTTATATAATCAGACATGTATAGGGTGTCCATGAAGTCTTGAAATTTTTTAAAATTGCCAATGGAATTTATCGATACCACATATTGTTTTGGCTCTCTCAGATGTATTAAATGAAGTTGAAAATAAACAATTACTGATTAAAAAACGACAAACCTGGTTAAGTTATATTGAGAACTGACTGCATAACCAAATTGAATTTGTAAAGAGACTTTATGAACATTCTGTATATTACAAACACGTACATGATCTATTCAACTGGAGGGTATACAAAATTCCTGATAACTAATCAGAGTTTCAAGATATTTTTGATCTACCTTTTACAGTATGTTCAATTTCTTTCGAGTATTACTTTTATTTTTGCTTCATTCAATCAAAGCATTTTGAATTACATTGTAAACTGCGATTTTGTGATATTTACTTTTAAAATTTAGACAATTTGTTGGTTCCTGATTACCCAGTTATATATTTGCTATACATCCTATTTTGGCCGTTAACTATTTGTACAAGTACTGTTTCAATTATTTTGTTTAAAGCTGTTGCAACACATTGCTATAAAAATGCTTGCATTATAGCCTTATAGCTTCAGAGTTCTAAAAGGTGTTTCTTGTTGTGACATTGGCAAACTATTAGTTTGCCAAAGTAAGGGTGCCATGTTCACAACACGCCGCAAGTACTTCTAGTTGGCGTTGCATAACTATTTTACTCCTAACCCCCACCTGACTATGTCGTTCAATTACGTCACAGCAACGCAATAAGGTGCTCCAAACTATATTAACTGTCATCCAAGACGGGCAGACAATCACCCGAAATCGAGCAAGCTATTTCCAGTAATCTTTAGATGGTGGAGCCACGTGGGGTTAGGAATAACATATGCAAAAATGGTTGTGCCACACCAAATAGAAGACCCTACTTACGTCGTTTAGTTAACATGCGCCAAAGTATGTCCCTAGTTTCGACATCTGGGGACATCACAAGGAAATTTAGTCTTTGGATCATTTTTAATTGCCATAACAATAAATAAAACTACAGACGGAGTCTACTGCTTTGTGCCTGTAGTCGGGCAATTGTGATTCAATTAGGATAATCATAGTCTGGTTTGATGGTATTATGTGTCTGTACTTATGTGCCGAGTTCTAGTTTCCAAAATTAGATTCTACGACTTGTGTATCTCCATCTTCACTAGAGGCTAGCAGCCGATCTGGGTATCTGGGTAAGAACCTGTTTAGCGGAGATTACTCTAGTTTAACCGTTGCTGCTTTGAGTTAACACATGTTTTTTGAAGCAATATATTGTCTTTTGTATCGATGTCTTTAGGGTATTCATCTGAAATTAGTCCTATTTGTGCAACACTTTCCTGATGTTTTTTTATGCCTTTTTAAATGGATTTCAAGTATTATTATGTAATTACATTGAATGAAGAAAGTTCATAAACTGCTAATGAAATTTTATACTAATGTCCTTATGTTGTCTTTGGGCGTGGTGATGGTGAACTTCAATCAGATTTTTATCTGAATATTGATGTCCGTGAGATAATTAGGTCTTGAGGGAGAATTTCCAGGGCTTTTCCATATTGATACAGGGTAGGAGGATAGGAAGCCAATAAGATGGCTCGATCATATGGCGAACCATGGCCTCTTGACCAGTTTCCAGTCCAACCAGGGACAAGTAAACCACCCTACGACAACAGCGAGGAGTCCAGCAAACCTCTCATACATGACTATCCACGCATGCGGATCGAACTCGCGTAGGGAATCAGAGGTGCGGAGTGTATTCCTAACGCTCAGAAACGCAATTGAGAAGTAAATATAACTTAAAAACATAATGCACCACACCAACGATACTGGGAGAGGAAGTCGATTGTATATTAATGATATGCAAGCAAGCTCTCAGCTATATGACAATCAACATTTAGACTCAAATTTCGAACGGCTCCATTGGTTTTTCTCAATGGCTTGGTTGTGATAAGAAAATGATCTGGCTTCGGCTCCAAGAGAATGATCAGAGATTACGTATGCATCCTGAAATCTAGTGGTCACAGAGGTGAATGGGAATATGTTTAAAAAATCTCAGATAGTTCAAACCTTGCTAGATTTGGTGTAAAAGATCCGCTAATACTAATATCCCTCGAAATAGATTTTAGGATCTTACAACGTCACATGTTGTCATTGTACATCTGCACTGACACTTTCAAGGAATTAATATCAATTCTATCAGAGAAGTAGAATTTACTGAACAAAAAGGTAGAGGGCATTGAAAACTCGTAGTTATTTGGTAAACATTGATGAGATTGTCAGGCTGAATCAGTCAGAAAGACTATGAACAACCTGCGCATTATCTGACATTTTGTCCACTCTTCTACCTATGTTGCACTTATAAAAGACAAACCCCCTACACACCAAAAGTACCTAAAATTGACTTATGAAATAAATTTTGATTATATGATAAAGCAATGCATTTCAGGCAACATCTTCTCATTGCGCATGAAATCAAATAAAGCAATCATATTAATATTATAATAGATACTAATGTGAAATAGAGCTAAAACAGAACTATTACTATTAATAATAATAAATATATATTCCAAGCGTAAGTTTAATCATCGTATCTATGAATGAGGGAACAAAAGTTGATGCTTCATTTCAAGGGTGGTACCTTTTCAGCATGTAATATTGGCAAAAAGAGGGAATTTTGACGAACAAAATCAGATTCGGATTATAAATATCTGAATTTCATGGAAACATTAAATTCCTAGTAGCAACATTGATTTTGGTTTATATGAGGGAACTAAAATCAAATCATTTTGTATTGATAAATGCAATCACACAGACCATGGTGCAGAAAATATTAAAATAATTTGGTAAGTCAGAATTCAGATTCGCTATTCACAAGAAAGGGTACATAAATGCAATTTTCAATAAAATTACTCAGTATGCTTGAAGTGTGAACTTTCCATCTTATTGGTTTTGATAACTATTTTCAATCAAAGAATATACCTCTTACAAGATTATTGGATTTGAACATTTTATCCTGATCATTGGACTTGCTCAATATTAATATATAACTAATAGTAGGCTCAATATAATAACAAAAACGGCGTTTTGAACAACTGTGAGATGACAATTCTGTGAATACATGTATATTGCACTTTACTTAACGTTTTGCTAAAATTTTTCAACTATTCAATATTTATGAAATATCCACAAGGTGGTTTTTGAGGAATTTGAGGTGTCGTTCCCATAAGATGCATCGGAATAGCTGTCACGCTCACACCACTGACGTTAAATACACCCCTACGCGCAAAACAAGCCTTCAAATTTACTTTGATTTCACTGTGAGGAGCGAGAAGTCTCTTTGCTTCGGTAGCACCAACCCATGCAAAGTCCGTATGAGATTGACGTTTTCCAAAATTGTCCTCCACATTCGGCAAACTGACGGTTACATGCAGCTTCAAATTGCTGAGATTATACACCATTAATGTCATATCAGTATGACATAGATTGTTCGCAGTAAAATCATGTTTTATTGTAGAATTATACCTGAGTCTCCATGTTACTAATCGATGTAAAGTTTGAAGAGAAAATTCCTCTGCTGATTTGGGCATGTTATCAGAAATTTTAACAGGCATAGTTTCAGGGGTTGAGAATGTACCTAGACCTTCAAAAAGATCTTTTAAATCCAATTGGTGTTGGCCGTACATAAACGCATCATTATAACCACCTTTCCAATGAATGATGATTTCAGGGGGCTCGTACAAATCTCGCTTCTCAGAATCAACATCAAACTTCTTTGCCAGATTGAGGTACATATATAGATGGTTGTTTACTGATAAAGCTGGTAGCTTTTTATCACCCACTATTTCTACAACACAGCTTGAATTTGAGCATGTTACATCCTCAATAAAAAGCATCCATGAATCTTTCGTTGAAGCATTTCGTACCCGTAAAGATATTATAAAATTTTCTTGGTTCACAGGAGTCATTAATTCAGCCAGAATATCAACACCTTCTGTACATTCAATATGATTTCTAATGAAGAAAGTACGACCCGATGGTCCATCAACAATACAATTTGATTTACAGTACACTAAAGCATCTGCTTGATGAATTCCACTAGTTGCAGGTGCTTTAATGCAAACGTCCATTTTCACAGATTTTCCTGGTAATAAAGGCTCTGACAACACATTAGTAAATTTAATCTTCTTAGATTTTGAATCGGTTGTAACAACATTGGGTAAAATAAACTTGTGACCATTTGTACCGCATATGGTAAACTGAACTTTGTCATTCGCAAGTATCTTGACGATATCAAGTTGAACATTGCCCGTATTCTGTAGCCTTATTGTTGTATTGACAACTTCATTGCACACCATTGTGGTTGGAAAATTATCAAATGTTGCGGACATTTTTGGCAAAACAGGGAGAACATGAAAATTCAATCTTTGATCAGTACCGTACATAACACCACATCTTTCATCTTTCGTTTTATTCAATCTCCGACCAAGAATATTAAACGGTTGATAGTCTTTCACAGAATAGCTAGTATCATGTTCAGTGTCTTCTGAACTATCACTTGAAGACAATCCTAATTTATAAGATGTCCCCAATGCTGTCAGCACTCCTGGTTTAAGAGGTTTAGCAGTAAAAAGGGCTGTTTTCTTAGTCAGTGGAGGAATGGTCAGAATAGGCACAGAACTACATTGAAATATGTCACCTTCAATAAGCTGTGAATTTTCTTTTTCAGGCAGCTTGAAATCCCATTTTATTGTAATATCCGACATGCAAATCGGAACATCCAGGTAGTTTTGAAATGTCACTTCGATATTAACAACTTCCCCCACAGCCAACTGTGGACTTTTAACATTAGAAGTTGATTTACAGAAGCATTTCATTCCGCTGACAACAGTACCAGGCAGTAAAGGTTCCGAATCCAAAAGTAAATTTACCAATTTAGACATCTTGGTATTAAATTCTGGTGTAAAGTCATTATCGCTCTGATCGAGACAAACTTTCGTTTCCGATTCAAGTAATTTTGGTAAACCTAACATTGCATTTTCCACTTTCGCATCATTTAACTGTTCACATTGTTGAAATATATGAATAAATTCATGAAAAAATGCAGCTTGCTGGGATGAAGGTTGAGAAGATTCCTGAACAAGAAGACTGCGAAATGACTTCGATGAATCCAATAAATGTTTCATGTTAAAAGACTGTCTTGCCATGGCAAAATTAATATGATCTTCAGCTAGACTCCATCCTTGGCCCAGATATACTTGGAGGGCAAGGTTATAGCTACGCAGTGCATGTGCTCTTTGGGCACATTTGCTAAATCGGTGACCTGCTAAGATCAAGTGAAATGCAAACTTTTTAGGCTGCGGTTCTTTCATTTTGAGATAAGAATGTGCAGCTTGCTCCAAAAGTAATGCACTCCTCAGATCATCTGTTTCATTTGTGACTTTTATCAAATAAAATGCTGCTTCATTGAACTGTCCTAGAAACTGTAAACATTCAGCATGTATCAGTGAGCATCTAAGGGCAAGGTAGTCATTTTTACATACATCAATGTACATCGTTATCGCTGATTCCATGTAGTGAGAAGGATAAGTTTTCTGAGTGTTGCGTTGCATGAAATTGGATGTGGCAGCCATCTCAGATGCACCAGCAGCGTACAACCAAGCTTGGTCGTTCGTGTAATCCTTCTTTGCATTATGATAAAAGTAAAAAGCTTGGTCGTACATCTGTGACAGAAAACACAAATCTGCGATCTTTCTTAAAAGCAATTCATTCGCATCATGACTATAACCTGATGTGGAAGCAACACTAGATGGTGATTTACTAGATCCAAATAAAGTTCTTGTCGCACGAAACAATGATTTATGTAACGCTTTTCTTGCTGACAGCTGGTCGTTGATATTTTTTATTGTTTTTTCCATATGAGGTATAAGTGCAGAAACTATAAAATCATGCATGAAGGATTGCAGACCATCATGATCAGCCATAGTAAGACAACATCCAAACCCTTTTTCGACAGACGTTTTCGAATTTTTTATGATATCATTGAACCATGGTTGATTTTCTTCAGAATTGGTTCCGTTCACTGTGGATATTTTAGAATAAGCAACATCAGTTACATTATTTTTCAGAGAAGACGTTGAAGAATTCATAAACTGATGCCATGGATCAGGCAAATTTTGCGCACCCTCGGAGTTCGATACATTCCTGGAGTTTATACATAAAAAATGACAAACTTTTGTTCCATATGTTGCTTGCAATGTTGCAAAAACTTCCTTCGCTTTACTATCATCGCTTTGTTGCGCATCATGAAGAAGAACAAAATATTTTAATGTATTTGGCGTCATCCATCTCAAAGAATCGTTATTTTTTTCACCATGTTGGATATGATTTTGAAGTTGGCTCAGATTCGCAAATTCTTGCATTGGGTTTGGATGAAGTGATGATACGACTAACATACAAGCAATATGATGATTCAAAAACTCATGATCTTGCGGAGGTCCGAATTTAACCATCATATCTCTGTAAGTATCCATCCACGGACATGAACGATTCACAGACAAGTCATATTCCTTACATGGAACAGATATGGTTTGTATATTATCACTGGAACCTGATTTTGAAACCAAATCCGCTATCATTTGACGTATAATATTTTTATCGATACTCGCATATTTTTGTCGAATGTCTGACACGCGTACATGGACATTATAAGCTCGGTATACTTGAGCACCAATTCCTTGAATTTTCGCTTCATTTGTTAACGTACAGAATGGTTGAATCAGTTCAGAAAATGACAGATTATTCTTCTGGCTGACAAATTCAGCATCTTGGCTGGAAAGGACACCAACTCGAATTGAAAATGCACTTTTAATAAAATCATGAGTACTTTTCAAGCTTTCAGCCATTCTATAATTTATGACTATAAGTAAAATATAAAGCAAGCATGTCAAATATAATATTCCGTGAATACAGGAAAAGTTGGAACAGTGAAAACAGGAAAAGGATTGGCGTAATCTGGCTAAAATTGTAGATATATAAGTATAAGTCTATATAAACTAAGTCACGATACTGCACAGGGTTGCCATATTGCTGTATTGGCTTTTTTAACGCCAAATTTGCCATTTTTGGCTTTTTTCAAACGCGTTTGGCGTCAGAATTTCCGTTTGGCTTTTTGGCGTTTTTCAAGTCTATTCTAGTGTCTATTATTAAAATCATATGAAATACAATATTTAGTGTGTAACAACTGAACAATACCCTATTACCTGTACTTAGCTACTTAACATTCTGACATTAGGATTTCCTGGAGCATCGATTTCCTTGTTTGTTACATCAACTCTTAAACAAACCCAATAAGAAATGATTGCAGTTTCTGCAGCTGCTCGGACAGATGTTCAAGCAGGGTTGTAAACATTGCCTCCTTTTTATAGTTTTACGTGTTATTTGTCTGTTTTACGTTCTATTTCCGAAAAAATAGTTGTATTAACCTAATTTTCATTATGCCTGATATGGTTTATGTGAGCTTTAGTTTAATTCTGCAATTGCAGTAACGATGTGATTAACGACGCTAAAATTACTGAATTAGATATAAGTGGTCCACCTGTGAGCGGCAAGGGGTTAGATAATTTTTTATTAAAATTGATGGTTTATAAATTTTAAATATGAAAATATTTTCAATAGTAAAGTAAGATAACGGGAGAATTTTTCAAGGTATATCACAAGTTTAAGTAGAAACATGTAGGTATATTACATTCTGACAGACTGAAGCAGCACCCTGTATTGTATATATTGAATGGTAAAATAATGCTGTCCGCTTGATATCCATTTTACTTTCTACAGTTCTATAGGAACTTTACTTTCTATTTGTGTGCCTCACTGAATGAACTGATGGCTCTACATCATCATCAGTACGTTGCCAAGGGCTTAAAATCTGACAAATCATGGGGCTTTTGTACTTAGTAAAATTGTTGGCTTTTTTATGTCTTGATTTGGCTTTTTTTGATCGCTGGGGTCTGGCAACCCTGATCCTGCAATCACAAGTCACAATCTGAATTCTGAACCTGAATCAAGGCTACAGACGGCCACTTCCAACACCATGACGGCACACTTAACTGTTGGTTTCTCACTCACGGGCAAGTATTTTTGCGCGAAAACATTTCAGTCCAAGCAAAGTGTTCGTTAGCAAATAGACTAAGATAGGGTTAAGTTTCAAGGTTGAAAAGATTCGATTTGAATCATACCGGTACAGGCAAATAAGGTACCGTACCGGCAACGAAGTACAAGTATATGATATTTGTACAAGCTGTATTTATGTCAAAATCAATGGATCACGCAAAAAGGTTTCTCGCAAAAGACACAGAGCTACAAATCAATATGTAATTGTCTACTCACTCACAATTAACTTGGCCTTTCACTTTAATGAATACTCATATTTTATTTGTCATATTGCCATCACTAGTATAGAATTCCCCTACGAAGCCCATAGTTGTGTGGCATACTGTCGATATAATTCGCATTCAACAAATGATATGTACATCTTCTTTTGCCGTAAAAACTGACATTTGCATGCGAGTACCGTACTTCGCTTAATTGATGGTCTTTATTTTCCCACGCCAATTTGTGGTGTTAGGAAGGTTCGTCTCGCTTTCGGAAATATATATGTTTAAAAAATTTCTAATTCAATCAATCAATTTTATTTGGTCACTCTGATAGAAACAAAACACAAACCAACAACAAACGGACAAACAAAATACAGAGGACCTGGAGGACGAGCATAACTTATTGAAAAAGTTAAAAACGTACAAGTACGTGCCCGTCCACCAAAAACAGTCAGAACACAATAAAACAAAAACACGATATAAAATCGGGCAATACTCTTAGATTAAATTTAAAATGTGAAACGTGTATGTGTAACACAACAGTGCTTTTCCTACAAAACTATGGAATTAAAAACACTCGCTGACGTAAAATGGTGATGCTGTAGGCCTAGTTCAATTTCATTGCAAAAAAAAAATGACACAGTGACAAAAAATTGTACTAAAAAAAACAAGCTCGGTAAATAGATTGAATGTTCCATAGCAGTCTATGCACAAATCATAGATTGGTGTATCGGGTTCTCTTGTCGTTTTCGATTAGTTCAATATAAAATCATTGTATCCGTTCCAATGCTTCCAACATTGATATCGAATTTCCACGAACGACCACCATTCCAACAGGTGCAGTGGTCCCATCTTTTCTGCGCTCTGTTCCACCATCCACAACTAGATTCATAAAAGGATCGAAACCTAGCAATATATCCGTAACAGATCGTCCACCATTTAACTTTGAATTCAAATTTTTATCCATAAACTTTTTTAATTCCGGTGGATGGGCTTTGCTCATGTTGATATTACCCGATACAAATACCGAAACATACAGCACGTAGCATTCTCTAGTCCTTTCAAGCAGACACGTCCGAAGAACCCGACGACGGCCGGAATGGAATCATAATTGAAGCGGATAATACGAGGAAAATAAACAGCAACAATTTCTTCCCTATTTAGATGCAAAATAAGTAGCATGAATGTATACTATTGTGTTGGTGTTATTGGGTATTAAATCTCAGTCGCTTGGAGTTCGAGGTATTCAGCTTCAAGGTTGGCCTCTCCATGTTCGACTGAAAATAAAAATTGTACTAAACTAAGGGAGTTTAAACTTGGACAAGCAGTTTGCAACAATATTCATTTGTAAATTGTTTGTTAGAAAAAATGCATAGATTCGTCAACCAAAAACAATCGTAAACAAAGACATTCGTATTTGAGAAAAGTAACATCCTTTACTAAAGGTCTTCTTTTAAATGGCTATGTAGACCTATGGGTCGCATGAAATGAACATGTATTTTTTCTTAAAATTTAGGTAGTGCAATTTCAGTCTTCATTAATTGACTTGCGCTTGTTAACTGAAATTAGCAATAAAATTTAACTGAGAGATTATTTAGCTAGAACGAGGAGGTATTTCTATGAAACTGCCTTCATACCGTTTCGCCACACGGTTTGGTCAACTAATTTAACATCAATGTTGCCGAGTAATAAATGACGGACGGACTTTCGTATTCCAGTTCTCGTATAATATGCATTTCAGCATTAAATCATAGGGTATTAGGACTGTTTTTCTGAGTGATCCTCTACAGCAGGGGTCGGCAACCTACGGCCCGCGGAGAATATATAACGGCCCTCGAAACTTCACAGGATTATAGTAACAAAACAGCTGTTTTGGAGTTTATATTCTTTACGTAACAGAATTTATTGTTAGTCACGTGTAGACTAAATTATATTATAACCTAACAAGTATATATATATAATTCACAATTACTAGTTTAATGAGCCTATAATTAGACAAATGGCAACAAAGCGCAGAAAAGTGATGCTAAGTGCAAAGGGTTCAATGGCGCAGAAAATAAATCTATATTCTATTCGAGAGATGTATCACTGCTTAATTTTTATTATAAAAAGTATCATCCGTTCGGTTTTCAACTTTCTGAAAAGATGTGCGGCCTGCCAATGACTCGCAACCCTTGATTTTGGCCAGCGATCGACAAAAGGTTGCCGACTCCTGCTCTACAGTCTTCACACGGTGGTGAGATAAATTTTAGTAGTGGCTATTCCCATTTTAATCGAACCAGTCGTTGATTGCAATTTTAATAACAGTTTCATAAATAGCACATACAAAGTAATTATAATTGATATCATGAAACATCAAAAATTTATAATTCAAAATTTCCAGGAGCAAGTCAACCTCCAACAGAAAACAGTTTGAAAAATGAATGGCCAGTCGAACTGTGATGATCATGTTAACTTTATGAATAAGCATAATAACAACCATAATCAAACCTGTGATTCTCAAACAGTGGGGAGCGGCCCACAATGTGGGCGTAGAAAATTTTTTGAGTGCGCGTGAAGCTAACTTAAAATATTTGTTAAATTTGATCTTTATTTTGGACATATACATTTCTTTATTGTTTAGAGATTGCGATTCCATCCACATATTTTTTGAATAAAAGATAAATTTGCCTTACTATCTGTTATTTGTAGCTTATTGTTAGCTAGTTATTTTTGAGGTGGGTGCGAGACTTGACAAGTACTAAAAAGGGGGCGCTGCTTCAAAAAGTTTGAGAATCACTGCAATAAACGTTTAATATACGCTGTGCTCCTAACTGCTTTAAATAAGTCATAGATATAGAATTTTATATTTAGAAAGATGAACTTATCAAATGATGTACCAATATAGAAATTCATAATATTCTCTGTTTACCACAAATCATCTTCGAACTGCAGGTGGATTACACAAAATCCTCAACACCTATTTGGTGGATGTTTTTGAGGAACAAAAAAATTGATGTTTATAACATTATATAGATACTGTAATTTTAAATTTAAATGTGAATTCATAGCGAAATGTGACTATTATTAACAGATATAAAATATGAATTTGATATTATCAATGCATAGTCAAATTCAACCGAACAAATGTTCAGTATTTGAAACATACGTAGAGTTTAATTTTGAAAAAAATATATCACGAATCGTGTAGTACTAGTATCAAGAATATAAATTTCTATGCTTTTTTTTAAGTAAAGATAAGGGATTTCCATGAAATGAAGTTCATTTTTAAGAAAATAGTTTAAAAACCGTCAATCTAACCAAAAATTTTGTATTGTTGCTACAATTCCCGAAACAAATTTTCATTGTTCTTTATCTAATGGTCTAATGAGGGTACAAAAAAAGTCCGTATCAAATGAAAAGTGGAACATATCAAACAAATATTTCACAGAAACTGAGTCACATGCAAATTGTTCCAACATAAAAACATCAACATCTTATGATTCTGTCCACAATTTGAAAAAAATGGTAAAGTATATCCTATTCAATAACATGAAATTGTCTAATTATTAAAAAGCAAAAAAATAAAGTTGTGAGTATTCAGCAGAAACACCACAACAGTTTGGCCCACGAACATCTCGTTCCAACACTATCTTCGGATTTTGTAAAAATCGTACAAATACCCAAAGATATTTCCAATTATAGGGAAGCTTTACTTTGCGAATGTCATTTTTTTTATAATAACCTCTACCTAAGAATTATTTCAGTGTTTATTATAATAAAGTCTATAACTGCATCAAGTTTTTACAGTTTCATTCTAATTAACTCCAAACATCAGCTGAGTAACGACCTTTGTTCTGCAGTCCACGTACAAAATCAGATGCTTGCTGTTCCGTCTTCCCACCACAATCTCTCACAATGGCTATAATAGTGTCATGAACATCTCTGGCCATGTGTCTTGCATCACTGATAATGAAAGTTTATTCAGTTATCATAAAATTAGTACTTCTCAATTATTGAAGTATTTGAATAAAAAATATATTATAATATAGGTAGTCGCATTAGAGCACAATGGCAGTCGCAAACTACATGTCTCAGGTTCAAATCCCACACCCACCACCTCACCCAGATTGTAATAAATTGGGTAGGCAATGCCGAACCAGAAAGAATTGGGTCATTCCAAAAATAAACACTTCCTACATATATCAGCGGCTTACGCAGGGCCTTGTTCTGAGTGAGAAATTATCGTTGTATAACATAATTACTGGTTTTGGGATCCATGACCTCACAGAAACCGATCATTATTGGAAAGTTGAGCAAGTAAATTAATTACAAACATGATGGAAATCTCGTCTTGCGCTATTTAATAACACTTTAGAACGGGGGTGTGCAACCTGCTGTCCGCAGGCCAAATGCAAAATTTGCTTCCAACTACTAGATGGCCTATGTTAGTTAAAGGTAGGGCCCAAGGTCTTACTGAGTTATTTGCATCTGGCCCTTCTGTATTAAAGGTTACACACCCCTGATCTAGAATTTTCTTTTCCTGTCTATTTACATAATCTGGATATTTGAATTTTTGAAAATAAAACAAATAGCGAGTAAAATTTGTCAATATCAGATTAGCATTAACTAAAATATCGCTCTTTTAAATCAGACCAACAATACGTACCCGCAGACATAAATATGCCCTTGTGAAGAAATCAATTTCCAAACCGATTCTTTATTTTCCATCAATAAATGTTGAACATACACCTTTTTTGGTCCATCTCGTGAAAAAGCAACATGTAATTCACTTAGAACTCCTTCCTGTTTCCTAAATAACATAATGTCAATAAGATGTGGTCTTTCATAGGCGCTCCAGAAGTGTGTGTACCAATATGGAGGTAACTAATTTTGTTCGCCTACTTTACATCAAGTTGTGTAAATGGACTGAAACCTATACTGGGCAGGGGGTATATTCACTTGGCTAACACAGACCCCAAACTCGTAATAGAACTAAAATAAGGAATAAAATTACGGCCTAACCCTAACCTGTTACACACACTACGGGAGTACCCATTTATATAGGTGAAAGTCATATCATAATATTTTTTGCGATTTGCGCATTGTGCTAGGTGAGTGTTGGGAATACGTCATTAAAAAAGTAGATTTTTGATAATCCCTATAACTGTCAGATTTACATGAAATATTCTGATTCTTTATTATAAAGTTAGTTTAGGCACAAGAATGCAGTGTTTTTGGAATGGTGTGCCATATTCTTCTTACAAAGTGAATTGAACTGAGATAAGTATGATTTTGTATCAAACTTTATCAATGAAAACTATTTTTAGAATCCTAAATTCACGAAAATGCTGCTAAATTGCTTTATTTTCCAATTTAAACCAATTATCTAACTTTAGCCAATCCCAAGAGAAGCATTCGCAACCACTAATTTAGAATCATAATAAAAAAAAATTTAAATTCATATAAAATTAATGCCACAATAAATTCAACATACCAAGCTTCAAGTTCTTTTTGATATATATAATCTTCAGCTTTTTTCCTGAAACCTGTATAAAGAATTGTGTCACCGACATCTTTCCCATTTTTCTTGTGATAAGCACGATCTTGAATGAATCCAATGAATGGAGCAAGTCCAGTTCCAGGACCAATTAACATAACAGGATGAGACACTTTGAACGGCAGACGAAATTGGGACCTAAAATAAAAATGAGTTTGACAGATTCGAGTTACTCTGTGATTGTAAACATACAGATACATCCATCCCTATATATAAAAGTGGAGAAAATCTCCTAGTACTTATACGGTGCTCCCGAAGTATGCGAACCAAGATGGCGGACATCGGAAAAATACATGGGTAACAGGTTAGGGTTAGGCGATAATTTTTTTCCAATTTTCCTCATTTTAATCCTATTATCAGTTCGAAGACTAGCCAAGAGCCTCCCGTAGTATTTATACCTAAAATTATGGCCTAACCCTAACCTAGTACACATATTACATTCCGATGTCCGCCATCTTGGTTCGCATACTTCGGGAGCCCCACTTATGCATATATTATCTCTAATTTTTATTGGTATAAAACTCTTATACAGTGAGTGCTTTTGTAGGTGAGTATTTTTTGGGAAAATTCCCTCAAGTTAAAATCCAGATAACCCACTCAGAAGTAGCGAGAACTCATCTCTGAGCAAGTTACAAGAAGCTGCGACTTTTGAGTATTTGCGAATGAAAGCACCAGGTGAGTACTTTTTGAGCTAGCCCACTCAGCCATGTAACAAGAACTCATCTCAGAGTGAGGTACGTGAGGCCGCGACTTTTGAGCGAGTGTTTGCGAATACCAGATGGGTACTTTGAACGTTAAGTGACACAAGATTATAAGCAGTCATGTTACTACCAGAAAAGCTGTTATGAAGTAGTAAATACAAAGGAAAAAAGTTTGGATTCCTCAGTATAATACTTATAAAAAAGGAACTCAGAAAGTTATCCTAACACAATAATTCAAAAAATTCTTACTTTCTGACATAGACAGGTACATGATGTTTCATTTCACCAGCAGGAATCTTATCTTTGAGATAAGATGTGGCAACACCTTTGATAAGCCGATTAGCTTTTGATGTGTATTCCACTACGATTGCACAAATATGAATGCTTGTTGGATGAGCCTGCGATAAAAATATTTTTGTAATGGAATCTCAGACCTTATTAATATAAACATTATAACTAATGTTTTAAACTATTTCAGTGGCCCCCAACCTCTTTCAAGAAAAATTGACAAAAAAAAAATTACCTTGGGAGAACTAGCGATAGAATAATATCGAGCTTGTAATCTTGGCATCAATTCACACAAATGATCCATAGCAGGCATACAGGAAGGTACTTCTTCTAAAACAGCCAGAATGTTACGTCTCGAATCCACTACCCACTCTTGATACTTTTTCTGTTTCATAAAAAGAACAATTAGAAAATAACTGAGGTCGTGACCTTACCCACTGTTTGTATCATTATTACCCACCTTTCCTTCTGGAGTGGGGTCGGATAATGACTTCAGAAAATCCTTGTCTTTTTCGTCAGAGCAATAATCAATAAGTTCATGGATGACATTTGTTCGTGGTGGATGGATAATATCAAGATAGTGAGTTAAAGCAGTGCGATAAGACGTTGGGCAAGGAAACGGATGCTTTTTGTTCGATTCCTCTGAAAAATGTAAGACAGTTATTCATATATGGCAGGCACAATATAGAAACCTCGTGAAGAAATATGTACCAAAATTGAAGCATGAAATACCATTAGATGGGGTTTGCGTAATTGAATCAACTGTAAATTAGTGGTTATGTGGTAACCCAGCGAGCGGCGCATCATGCTAAGCGTTAAGGATATGCTCGTCATCGTGCTCATGATTACCCTGCATGGTTCAGAGGCTTGAAACGTTATAGTATAAATATATGCGAAGGATTGCTAGTTTCTTTGCTGCCATTGGATGGTTAACATAACCGCTGGTCGACTACAGCTTCCTCCACCATCAATAGCAACTGATTCCAAACCCAACATGGACATGGTAACTGGATGCGAGGCCGTTTTTTCCCATAGAAATAAGCTGCCTTATTGGCTTTCTTATTCTGAGCAGATTAATCTGAAATCAGATTTTTATTTTTATATAAATTTTATGTCTCAGCTACCCTAATATAAACTGTGTAATAAGATATGATATCCTGCGAACAAATATAAAGCTATATAATTTTTTACCACAAATAAAGAACAAAACAGTAAATTTCTAATATCCCCCAGCATTACCAGGAACATACCAAGTTAATGAGGTAGAAAGAAGGAACTTCCTGGTATAAAATCGTTTATCAACGAACTGTATTAAACATATAATATTATACCCTTGTATAATAGTATAAATTTCTGATCATTAGTATTTAGACCAGCCCTGAAGCCGTGGTGTTTTGTTGGAGCTGAAGCCAGATCCTTTCCAGCTTATAATTTTCTTAAATTTAATTTCTAACTTTTAATTTTAAAACTGTTTTAAAAAGTTGAATTTATATATTCAAAATTTGATTCCTAAATATGAAATCCCAATATGGTGATTTTGAGTCCTGCTTCTGCAAAACTGCATTTGGGTGAAGGGTTATTGTTAGTGGTCATATAAAAACCCTAATGGCTGTGGGGCTGAGCCCCAGCTACAGGGTGTAAAAATGAAATTCTGGAGTTGGAACCATTGAGATTTTAACTCAGCGGCGCAGCCCTGATTGAGACAGAAATTAAATATTGATATGAATATTCAATATAATGACACCAACATCAGGATTTATACATCATTTCAATAAAGTGATTTTTAACTAAAGCTGTAATTTTAAACTCTCCGGTTGTTTTTAAATTCTTACATAAAAAAACCTCGAGGAGTCATGAAATAGTTCGTAGCAACAAGTTCAGTGAAAAACTATATTAGCACCCAGATGGTGATTTAAAAATCAGCCTACCATCAAGATTATTCAGTGAAAAAATAGTATCAAGATCTATTCCAACTCTCTTTCCGATAGCTTCAACGATCGTTGTATCATTGACTGGATAAACAGCTACATGGTCTCCTGTTTCATATCTGACATAGAAAAATAATATAGCCTACATGATATTTCAAGTTTGCAACACAAATGAATAGAAACAAGAGCTTACTACAAAGCAGTTGAACGCATTAAATTGATTAATATAGGTTCTGAAATTCTTCCCTTATTAAATTTTTATTGCATGATATAACATAGCCTAAGATATGATTACATTGTATGTACATATATTGATTATGCATAAATATGCACTGTGTCTGTAAAAAAAACAACACTTTTACACTTTAAAGAAATGTTAAAAAATTGTTTTGATAATGTTTTTGGCTTGTGAGACAATCTTTAAAACCAAGGGCTTGCTCATTCGAATTGCCTATGTTCAGAAAAGACAATTTTGAAGCTTTTTCGATTTTATTGTAAAAAAATCCAGAAATTTTCAGTTAAAAAGTTAGAAAACCATTAAATAGAGCATTTCGAATAAATAGGCTACAAGATATAATTCTCCTGAAGTTTCCTACAAAAGATCTAAATCAACAAAGACATCACTAAATAAATAAAATTGAGGCACGTGCCGGTTACCTTATACGCGTATCCGTGATATCAAATTCAATATGCATACATGACCTGTCACCACCATTGTGCAATTCTCTATTTACATTAATAGGAGAAAGATATGGATTTTTCGAATCATATGGTCTGAAAAGAATAGGCAAATTAAGATACGATCTATTCAAGTATTAACTACGATTCAGTCTTATTGGTATGATAAAACCAAACATAATATATGTATCTAACATCATTGTGCCATTCCTAATGAAGTTTGAATTACACATCGTCACGGCTGGTTCAAATAAGAAAATGTTAATGCCACACAGGGCTCAGTATTTGTGGTTTGTACACAAAGATATAGGTCATGTTTAAACGAAATAAAGGTGTCCTTGTACTTTATCTTGCTGTATAAACTTGTTACATTTGTAGAATGCTGTCAACCTGAGCTTGCAAGTGATAATGTGCAAATTGTGATACTCTCGTAGCATGTGTACCAGGTTAGAGTTAGGCCATAATTTTATTCCAGTTTTTCCTTATTTTAGTTCTATTACGAGTTCGGGGACTGTCTGTGTCAAAGTGAATATTACCCCCTGTCCATGGTTTCTATCCCTTTACACAACTTGATGTAAAGTAGGCGACACCTCCATATTGGTACATACACTTCTGGAGCAGCCAAATTGTTACATATCATAATTTTGTTGCATTATAGGACAAAATGAAATAACATTATCAATATGTTAAATACTCATCATATAAACAATGATATGATTTTTAGTTGTGAGTAATATTATCTAATTAACACTCTTTGTCATGGAATAAATCAGTGTACTTATTTGGGCATTTCACTGTAAATACAAGGACAACGAAAAAAACTAAAACTAAGGCTTATTTCATTCTAAGAGGGAAATAAATAGTTTAGGTTTTATAATAACGAGTTAAGCATTTTAGTAGTCTTCAGAATTGTTTTTTTCTATTTTTTCAGGGAGAGAAGAAAGCAGATAAGACAACTTGATGACATTGCGTAACACGGCCTCTCGTCCGGTTACCAGTCCATGTTGCGTATGGGATTGTGAGACAGTTTTTTGTTTCATATGCGTTTTACAGATTTGAGTTCAATGCTAAACAACATAGTAGACAATGCTTACATGAACAATTCTAAATCGCAAAAAGGCTAACAATCGATTCATGACATGATATCGTTTCCATGACAAAATAATGTTCATGACAAAACATGAAGAAAATCAAGAAAGCAATCTAACTTACGGTCTTTGATTCTTATAAGACTTGATTCTGGCAACTTCCCCTGTGTAAACAGTTTCCATGTTTAATACATCAGTGTCATGAACAGTTAAAGTATAAGCACGGAAAGAAACATCTTCCCCAGATGATTCTACACCAAGATTTTGACAAACTGCTGGCCAAAAACCTTCTTTCCACGTCACAAAATCTTCTTCAATGCTGAATTGAAAGAGTTGATTATAATCTCAACATTCTTCAATACTATTGTTTAGGAGAATTGCTCGAGCAAGGGGAAGGGGGCTCACCTAGGACTAAAAAAGACTGGTCTTTAGGCAAATTAACAAGCATCCACCAAAATGCCACAAGCCACTAAATCTACACAGAATTATGGCGGTGCCTTACCCGCAGGTAAAATTATACACAGCTCACATTTATTGGTGATAAATATGGATCTTTGAATAAAATATATATTAGCATTGGGAAAAAAAATATCAAAACTTTTGGTGTGAGTGTCAGTATTTGAGATGAGAGCATATGTGGACAAAATTTTAGCCTTTTTTTCATTATATCATTGATTGTATAATAACCTTTCAACAGTTTCAAAGTCACTAAAATTTTCTCATCTTGATTAATGTTAATTTCATTTTAAAGAAAATAAGATTTGACTAAATATTCCAAAATCTTAAATTATTCAATATACAACAGCTTCAAATATTAGCAATCTCAGCAAGAGAAAGTTTTATGAATAGCGCACGCTACGAAAAAAAGAGCGAAAAAGACAGGAATTTAATATTTTGACGGAGTTTTGAATGAGAGACTTACTTGGCATCATCGTCACCCAAACCAAGAGGATAAACCCGTTCTCCGCCCAGTTCCTCGAGACGTTTGTCAACAAATTTGGCCATGGAATTGTAATGTTCATATGTACGATTTCCAAGACCAAACACCTGAAAAAATAATGATTGCATTAAACTATATTTTACTCACTGTACCATTCGAATTTATAGAAAAATTGTCCTTCACAAATTTTGATGAAATTCAAACAAGGAAATGATGACTCTTTAGCAATTCAGATATTTCGAATTAGTGTTTTGCCAGTAAAAATGGACTCACTCGGTGCAGCAAATTAGAAATATTTCCCAAAAAAGAATACTAGAATAAAAAAAATAGCTGAAAATGGACTCCAAAAAAAATTGTTATTGGTATCATCATGATGGGCTAATAGTCACATCAATTAGCTCAGTAATTAAATAATGACTATCGACTTTCCCATAACAATCAATCATTGTGTGCAGTGCGTCACTTATGACTAGAAACCAGGATTTCCTTGTTCATCAATACCAGGAATAATGAGAAACGAAAATGAGCAAATTTCCGCCAACAAACTTGATAACAGAAATTCCATCACGAAGCATTTATGATTATCAATTCAGTGAAATGGAAAAGTCCTTATTGACTGATATTTTTCAAATTATTACAAAACTAAAAATCCAACTGGTAACATTTCAAGTGAAAAAATAATCCATATTATTCTTATAGGCGCTCCAGAAGTATGGGTACCAATATGGAGGTAACTAATTTTGTTCGCCTATTTTACATCAAGTTGTGTAAAGGGACTGAAACCTATGGGCAGGAGGATATTCACTCGGCTAGGACAGACAGTACCCGAACTCGTAAAAGAACTAAAATAAGAAAAATCGGAATCAAATTATGACCTAACCCTAACCTGGTACATATACGGGAGTACCTCCTTTTAAATCTTACCGCGAATTTCATTCCTTTCAAATCTTCGTCACAATTTTCCAACCATTCATAAAAATCTTGGGCATTGTCAGTTGGATCACCTTCCCCATATGTGGCCATACAAAATATAGCAAGAGATTTTTCTATGTTGATAACTTCAGGCAGTTGATCCATGCTACATTCTAAGTAAATCATAAGACACAAAATTATTCACGAATATGGAGAAAAAGAAATTACCAAAGATGTTATCAATCTTTGTTATCTTGTCATTTGAAAAATTGCAAAGTTTCATGTAAAACTTTAGTTTCAATCTAAACCACCAAAATGATTAATGAAGCTTTCTCAAATAGCGCTCATTTTGAATTTTATTAACTATATTTGCCAGTACACTTAAAATAACTCTGGATTAAAGTAACATTTTCCTATTTGGAATGTTGTTGATTCTACTCTCGGAGAATCTAGCATCTTCACAGAATATGTAAGGCGAAAAAGAGGTGTACATGACAAACAGACTGTTAATAAGGTTAAAAATCCACTAAACAACTGCTCGCTTAAATACCATTATGCACTTGATTTAAAAAAGTACTAGTTAGTTACTGTTCTCAAAAACATAATGATCATCCCAAAATACATAAACCTATATTATACCCTAATCCATTGAAAACTGAAAAAAAAACACAAAAAACCAAGATGTTACCTTCTGGATCAAGAACTAAAGCTTTCATTCCATATCTTTGAGCATCTTTCATCAGTCTACCAGCAAATTCTTCAGCCGTACCAGTTTGTGATCCATAGAATATTGCGATGTTTCGACCCTAAAATAAAAAAGAAATCAGGTTATGAAATACAAAGAAATAAAATTGAAATCTCAGAACTATATACCGGTATGTAAAATGAGGCAATGGTTTTCAAGTCGCACAGTAGTCCAGTCTTTTTAATATTATTTTCATGTTTTTTTAATTTAATGAGCAGTCCATTATACCCAAAATTAGGAATGTTCCCAGATTAGTTTAGTTTGAACAAATAATTTAAAAGTCATGCTATCCAAAAGTTCTTTATTGAACTTAAGATGAATTAAATCACTATTTGATACCTAAAATTTACCATATTTATAATGGAATCATTATTTATAAAAAATTTCTTTGTCAATTTCGCACTACAACCATATTTAATGCAAAATTTTACACAGTAAAAAAATTTTTGTCGAAAAAAAGATTTAGTTTTGTTACTTGAAAATGGCAATTTTAGCATAGCATAGCATACTGAAATATAATTGAGATGTGGATATCCAAGATCGAAGCAACAAATTTGAAACAAATGAATATCAGATATATCAATCAAGCCTCAGTATTTGGAGACATAATACAGCAAAATATAAAAGAAACACTTTTGCAATATACTTACGCCCTTTTTCATTCGTGATATAAACCCATCCATGAAAGAATCTGTTCGAGTAAGTGTTGGTTGGCTGTGAAAATACAGTTTCATTTGTAATATTTACTGAAGTTCAAATTTGAAAAAAAGAAAAAAAAGCATCTTTAAAAACCTTCAAACTGAGAATATTCCTAAAGTTATTAAGAACTCACTATACCAAATATAGTTAATTTTCGAATGTCTGCAATAAACACATGTAAAACATGCTTACTTTATAGGCCGATCTAATGACCCTAAGAATTGTCAATAAAGATATAAGGTAGTTAGACACAGAAGCTTGACCAGTCCATTACTCACAATTGGATAAAAAAATAATATAAACATATACAGTATTTAATTGTAACCAGAATTGGTATTCTCAGATGTACAGTATGTAAGTCAGCTAATTGAATTCAATCCAAAAACTTACACGACAGACAGCTTTCGAAATTCGTCATCTTTAATAGAGTTATCACGACGGAAAAAGAACCAGTAAACTCCGAATCCAATCAGAGCACTCAGTAAAAAGAAATCTAAAGTTGATATTAATGGAGCTGAAGAATCTTTCGGCATAGTAGCATCATCAGCAGCGTTAGTTTCAGGGTCCATTTGATAAGAATTCAAACAACTAATTAGTAATGTTAAATATTTGTATTGACCTGTTCAAGACATGATATATCAGTATATATATTATTTATATCTTTTTGATACAGTGATATATCGCTAATTTGCGGAGAGAAAAAATGCAAGTTTACTCATTCATATAGCAGTATCAGAGTATAGTGAAACCTACTCTCTTCAGACTCTTGCAATTTTGGAATCGCGTCTGAAACCAGCTGACTGTATCATATCACCAGAGGATAAAAATGATACCTATTGAGTATTGTATCTCGGGTCTAGCATTACAGCCTTAAATGTGACGTGAAATCACCGCCGAAACTGCATGAATAAAGCTAAACCGAAATGTGATGTCAAATTTTTATGTTTTTAAAATAAAGTCTTTCTGGCGAACAATGAAATTTTTGACAGATGCATTCTGATAAAATCAAATCCACTCAGTAGTCAATGTCCCATGCCAAATAGGGTATACTGGTATAGTGTTCCGCTGATACAGACCTTTATAAAAAAAAAATAGTTAAAATTTTGGCTGTATTTTTGAATCACAAATTTTTGTTCGGCATCACTATATCACTATTTAGTTTGGCATTATTCAACCACTTGCAGTGTTTACTTCGCTAGACCCTTTCTCTGTATCTTGGAGCACTGGTACGGTACTTTTACTTTGAGGTGACAGTACGGTATCTTGACGACTCCAAAGTAGAATACCTACGGTCAGACGGTACTGACCTATGTCCTATGGTACCTACACACACACAGACTGACAGACACATCACCCGCGCCGATAACGCTGTATGTCATCCCGGCAATGTTATCAAATCAAATGTATATTTAAAATAAACAAGAGAGCTATGCTCAAATATATGGACACGTAGAGTCACATAATTTTGATGACGTCATAGCGAAAAAAGAAGTAATAGCCTTCTGGAGAAAATTTTTATCTTTAACCACTAAAAATTTCAAAGCAATTGGTCCAGTATTCGAAGAGAAAAGCGACTTTTTAAAAACGTGTCAAGCGGTACTGAGTTAGCAGTCAGGCAGCATCTTACCTGTACATTGTAGGCCATATACGGTAATTGATCACAGAACAGTTGTTCCCTTTCAAATTTTATGTTGTTTACACTTTAGGACAGATAATTGATCACAGAACAATTCTTCCCTTTCAAATTTTATGTTGTTTCCAGTAGACTCTCATCAAAATAAACAAATATAGTAGGCTACAAGTGCTACAACGCTTGCATTACTGCACTGGTAGGACCGTGAAAGAATAAGTTACGGTAATTTCATTGTGGTAAGACACCGGTACCGGCACCAGTACCAGTATCGTACTTACGTACTGAGCTACCAGTACCGGTTAGCAGTCAGCCAGCATCATACCTGTACACTGTAGGCCATATACGGTAATTGATCACAGAACAGTTGTTCCCTTGCAAATTTTATGTTATTTACACTTTAGGACAGATAATTGATCACAGAACAATTCTTCCCTTTCAAATTTTATGTTGTTTCCAGTAGACTCTCATCAAAATAAACAAATATAGTAGGCTACAAGTGCTACAACGCTTGCATTACTGCACTGGTAGGACCGTGAAAGAATAAGTTACGGTAATTTCATTGTGGTAAGACACCGGTACCGGCACCAGTACCAGTATCGTACTTACGTACTGAGCTACCAGTACCGGTACCGAACCTGTAGGTCTGATATTCCGTTCCGCATACGATAGGCTATAAAACTTGCATTGCAGCATTAGTAATACCGCGGAAGGAATAAGTCAATTTCACTGCGTTACGGCACCGGTATGGCAACTTACCAGTACCGACCTACAGTAGCTGTAGTACTGAGCAAGACAATCGATCGCGAAACCGCTTGAAATAAGTGTAAAATAGTGTTCCCATGAGTAAAAATAAATACCGCGAAATTTTGTATGAAATATCATATCTCATAGGATTCATATAAAATTTAAGAATAAACAAAAGTAATAGCCTTCTAGCGAAAAAATTAATCTTCAACCACTGAAAATTTCAAAGCAATTGGTCCAGTATTCGAAGAGAAAAGCGACTTTTTAAAAACGTGTCAAAGAACAACAAGAACAAGAACAAGAACAACAAGAGAGCTATGCTCAAATATATGGACACGTAGAGTAACATAATTTTGATGACGTCATAGCGAAAAAAAAAGTAATAGCCTTCTGGAGAAAATTTTTATCTTTAACCACTAAAAATTTCAAAGCAATTGGTCCAGTATTCGAAGAGAAAAGCGACTTTTTAAAAACGTGTCAAAGAACAACAAGAACAAGAACAAGAACAAGAACAACAACAACATAATATTGAAACGATCGTTATGTCCACTACGTGTCCAACAACAACATAATATTGAAACGATCGTTATGTCCACTACGTGTCCAATAAAGATTTCCGAGATCTGTCCTGTGACCTTGCTATGACAAATCCTGTGTAGCAAAACGATAACTACTCATTCACACTAACTTGCTAGTATGTGTTGCAATACTGCAATCGTCATAAGTCTGTAAGTCATTTGTAATCATGTCACGAATTTGAGCGTACGCTCGATAAAGATATCTAGAGGTCGTAAGTCAAAATGAAAGTGAATTATTCAACGATGAAATTTAGATTTTATACTAAATCAAATCTTTTTCAGCCCCCAAAATATGGCACTACGGGTAGTATGCGGGAGTGTATCGTTATTCTATGCACACAGAACACGCCAGAAAAATTGGACACGAAATGTACGGTACATATGAACGTTTTGCTAAATTTTTGTTGTAGATGCGGGAGATGTTTCCCGAGCGTCTGTTTTCTTGTTCATATTCGTAACAATCACCAACAAGCGATAAGTCAAAATGACCAAACAATGGCAATTTGTGCGGTCGCTCAGACACTTCTTCATTCAGACTGATATTCGGCAATGGTTGTAAACATTCGCTCGTTTTTGTGTGTGATTTGCCAGGTTTAAATTCTGTTTACAAAAATTAGTTGTAAATCAAGTAATTTAATTTTTATTATGTCCCCCGTGGAGCTTTGGTTCAGTTCAATAATCAGAAATTAGCCCCGAAAAAGCTACGATAGACTCGGCTAAAATTAGCTATCAGTACCTGTGAGCGTAAAATCTATGCTGTGAGCGTCACGTGGTTAATCAAATATCTGGGTGAAAATGAGAACTTTGAACATGTAATGTGAATTAGTTTGTAAATGATGCTCTCGGGCTATTTTCTTGTTCATTTCCGTAACAATCACCAACAAGCGATAAGTCAAAATGACCAAACAATGGCAATTTGTGCAGTTGCTCAGATACTTCTTCGTTCAGACAGATATTCGAGCATGGTTGTAAACATGGGCTCGTTTTTGCCTGTTATTTGCCAGGTTTAAGTTGTATTTACAAAAATTAGTTGTGAATCAAGTAATTCAATTTTCATTATGTCATCCGTGGAGCTTTAGTTTAGTTCAATAACCAGAAATTAGTCCCGAAAAAGCTGCGATAGACTTGGCTAAAATTAGCTATCAGTACATGTGAGCGTCACGTGGTTAATCAGATATCTTGGTGAAAATGAGAACTTTGAACATGTGAATCAGTTTGTAAATGCCTGCTCTCCAAAACACTCGTGAAACAAGTATTTAAAAAATTAGCTATGGTATAGGGAGACGGGGCCAAGAATCGGGGAAACGTCCATTGTTTTTTCTCCATGATTAACGAATCAGTCAATTTCAAATTTTTAGGTTTTAATAATATTTGAAGTCACTGTTGGACCCGGCGTTCACGCAAAAGCTCACTGTTTAATATAGGCCCTCGGGCAGGGTGGTCCAAGTTTGTCGGCCTCACGGGACACCTTATTATTTTGTGTTGTTCCCGGGCCACAATAGTGCCAAAAATAGGTTAACAGTTCAATACAAAACAAACGCTTTTATTGTCCAAATACATTGACCATTATTTGTTATTTAACAAGCTAAAACATGCAAAAACCACCAAAAAACTTACTGAAACGTGCACAAATCGTACTATATCTACATTTAGTGTAAGATTTCAAACTCTTCGTAGTGGAGAAAGTGTCATATATAAGGAGAAAATGTCATTTCAGATTCTCACCGACACAACTTGTAGAAATATCAAGCAAGCATTGTGGTATCTTCCCTCCCATATCCGGTCTATAATCTGTTTGAATTGGTCATCTTTCTTTTTAAAATCATGTTCACAAAATAACTGCAAATTGATTAATTACCGAGTTTTACCAAATTTGAGATACAGGAGGGTAATTGCTAAATTTTCTGACATATAGGCAGCATTTTTTGTAATACTGTTCAGGCTGGTTGCAAAAAAAACACCCGACAGGAATTATATTGTTCGGCCATAACATTAATATTTAGTTATCACCAACGACTAATACACCGGTTATCACTATTAGGCATAACCATGTTAGTCGTTGAGCATAACCGACCTAGGCTAATAGATTAGATAATGTAGTAGTTCGAATTTAGTGTTATTTCTAATGTTTATCTATGCCTCAAATCTTTATTACATGTTGATATAAATTGCTACATCCCTATTTCCATTTAAACCAAACTTGCACTTATATTATTAATGGTATATATTCAAATTCTGAAATCATTATTATTGTATGCCTATATGTTTATATTGAATTTTGGCAGTTCCGCCGCTTTATGATAGATTGCTTGCATTCTATGAGTCCATATCAAACTGATATGTCTGCCTCTTTATGAGGACAAGATGACTCGAGATTGACTCGAGACAAAAATAAATATTTATCCAGATTCCCAAACATACCATTTTGTATAGTTGAGATCATGTGAACCTTGTAAGATATATATACACAAAATGGTGTCACCTTACTTTGTACTTCTGTCATTCGCAATGAAAATCTCAATTATATCAAATCATGAACATATTATATCATAATTGAATATCTATTCAGCTCATAATTTCCTTGTTGAAACCTCACTAGGGGAGACCGGGGTTAGTTAGAACATCTGATTACTTATTTGTAATTATTTCTGCAACCATGTACCTCTTTACAACATCT